CTACATTAAGATTTAATTCATTTATTACTATATATATATAAGTAGATAATGATAATCTGTATATCTGTACATATAAATAAAATTGGAGTGTCTGTTTGAAATATTGAAATAACCGTTTTTTACTACATGCACATGAATATAAATACGGTACATACACCAAAATAACATTTTTTACAATATTTGTCTATCTGTCTGTCTGTTCAGGCTAATCTGTGAAATGGCTGGACCGATTTTGACGGGACTTTTTTTGACAGGTACCTGATGTAATAACTTAGGCTACTTTTATTTTAGAAAAATATAGTTCAATTCCACGTTGACGAAATCGCGGGCAGCGGACAGCTAGAAATACAATAAAAATCTCAAGACAATTCACACAGCGCCATCTAGCTCCAAGCTTAGCAGAACTTATGTTATGGACAAGACAAGACGACTGATACAAAATCCATAAATTGTCAATACATACAATTTATACAACAAAATGCCCGGTCACAGGTTCGATTCCTCACACGGTACAAACATGTGTGCTCATAACTATGATAATTTATTTGTATTGGTCTGGATGTTTCTTATATACATATGTATGTATTAATAAAAAAATCTAGGCATTCATAATACAAGTTCTGAATCGCTTGTGACTAGATGGCGCTGTGTGATTAGTCTTGAGTTATTATTATTATTACAGGTTTCAATAATGTAAATAAAGTTTACAGCATCAGAGGTAGCAGTAAATAAGAAGGTAGTAAATATAGGTAGAAGAATGATGGTGGCAGATTACCTTAAAACCACTAGTCAGCTCCTGAATGCAGTGAGAAACCATCGAATATCACTTGCATTGATTGCCCTATTAAAAATAAAAATAAACATATCTATAGTTTTAGTTTAAAATCTGAACTTTGTCTTCACGACACGCATTTTCCAGACACTAAAAATACCTTAATATATTAGAAGAATAATTAATCGATAGAAACAATTCCTTATTTAGATTATCAATAAACTAAACCCCCGCCCCGGCTTCGCACGGGTGTACATGTACTTTACATATAAACCTTTCTACAACAAACTAGATATCCCCGCGACTTGGTCTGAGTGGATAATAACTTTATTTTTCTAAAATAAAAGTAGCCTAAGTTACTCCTTATTAGATCGGCTACCTGACAAAAAATGTCCTGTCAAAATCGGTCCAGCCATTTCACAGATTAGCCGAAACAAACAGAGAGACCGACAAAAATTGCAAAAAATAACATTTTTTACAATTTTTCTCTTTCGTATGCATTTATATTCATATCAATACCTTAATAAACCTTTCTCTTGACTCAGTCTATCTATTGCTGAAAACTACATTAAAATCCGTTGCGTGATTTAAAAGATATAACCGTATAGACAGAAAAGGCAACTTTGCTTTATACTATATAGAGAAGTTATATTATATTTTAACTATCATTGAAGTTTTAATTAACTTTTCACTAATATATACGTATTATAGAAATGACTGTTCACAAGTGATCAAAAATTAAATATACTTTTAAGATTTCTGTTTCTACATTAATATACTTACAAATATTATATATATATAATATATATTTATATATAAGGTAAATACCAAAAGTGTCCCTTTTCCCAACAATGCCCTTCAACCGCTTTCTGTTTTTACCCAGTGGTTAGCTGGTAGAGAATGCCATATGGTAATACCATTATATTACCATTATATATATTATATATAAATATAACAATTGACGTGCTTAAACATTAGTGGAATTAAAAATATATAATAATACTAATTATTATGTTATCTGTGGTACTAAGGTACTAATTAAACATAATAATAATATAAATAATACCTGATATTAAGCAAATAAACTCTCTAAATCACTCAATAAATTCACTGCACTGATTAGAGATATTCCTCATTTTTTGAGTATATTATATTAAAGTAATATTACTTTAATATAAAATAATTTATCATCGAAACAACACGCAAGTATCTCGCTATATCTTCTTGTGATGACTCTACGTTCCGAATGAGTGTTGGAATAAAAAAATATGACTTTTCAAATATGCTTATATTAAATTTTTTGTAATAAATATTATATATATTTATTATTATTATTCTTTATTTTTTCTCAGCTTTTGCTGGTTTTCTCCACACTTACGGGCACTTATTATTATTATTATTATATATTTAAAATATATAGAAGCTGTGTACCTTGTATAAAGGGGATTTATTCTATCTATTTCTATTACTCATATACAAAACTCACAAAGTTATGAATTCGCGGTTATATCGAAGCGAGATTAATAACTTTATAACTTAACAAAGTAAGTCAAGTAAAAAAAACTAAATTTGTCATTGGATCTAACCAATGACAAAATTAGTTTTTTTTTAAATACCTACAGTCATGGAAGGTACAATTCCATTGTTTTTCTTCTTATATTTAATATATCACGTTCACAAACGTATAACAAACAGCGAGACCGACACCGACTAAGTTAATTACAGCAAAATACGCAGGCGATCGAAACAACCTTGCCGTACTTCTAATCATTTGAAGATGAATCTAGGTTGATTTTCTTACGATATTATATTCGTACGTCATAAACTTGTTAATATTATGCTGCAGGCCTCGGTGGTTTAGCGGTTTAACACAGTGTTTTACTTCCGATGGTTCTAGGTTCGATTTATGAATTCATCTTGAATCGATTTATGAAAATTGATTGTTTATGTTAGTGTTTTCCACGTGTGTATTTCGTTTATAACACCCGTAACACAAGCTCTGCTTAGCTTGAAATTATATTACAATAAAATTTATTGTAATTTGTTTATTGATGAGGATTTTTAAATGTAAACTTAAACAATACGCTTTATTATATATAATTATATTATATACTTGCTGTTCCCGCGACATCGTCCACGTAGAATTTAGTGACCGTGAAGGAATCGAACCCGCGACCATCGGTGAAGCGTTGTACTTAACCGCTAAACCACCGAGGCCGTCTTATAATACGTATATATTAATTTTTTGCCATTGGCTTCCCTTGTTATATGCCTCTTATATCTAAGATTGCACTCTGTACACCGATTTCTTATAGGATGTACCGGTTTATGGCAATTGGTACAATTAGTGATTATTACAATTGGTCTGACGTCATATAAACACAGTATGCAACGTAATACTGTTCAACATATAGCACGATTGATACAATAATGAATTCACTCAGGAAATATGTTATTTAAAATTATACCTTAAAATTAAATGTCTAGAGTTCATTTTGTAAAATTTTATTAAAAAGTACAAATTATTCATAATTGTACAAAATAGTATATAATACCAACAAAATCAGAGTTATTGTTGTCTGTTAATTTATTTATTAGACTGAGTCTGTTATACAAAAATATATAATAAAAAATAGAAAATACAATGTTAATATGAAATATAAAACTGACCAGTACGTCAGCAACAATAGTCTTTGCCAATAAATCTCCCCAAAATCAATGCAATTTAAGACAACAACCAAAATCTATACATATAAATAAAATTCGAGTATCTATTTGTAATATTGAAATAACCGTTTTTTACTACATATGAATATAAGTACATACACCAAAATAATATTTTTTACAATTTTTGTCTGTCTGTCTGTTTGTTCCGGCTAATCTCTGAAATGACTGGACCGATTTTGACAGGACGTTTTTTAGCAGGTAGCTGATGTACTAAGGAGTAACTTAGGCTACTTTTATTTTAGAAAAATAAAGTTATATTCCATGCAGTAGAAGTCGCGGGAACAGCTAGTATCAAATATAATGAATATGCAGAACATCGTTACATCTATACTCATGCTATTGATATCAATATTAATTTTATGGTAAATAATTTATTTACCTTTCAAAATTAATATCAATTCAATATCATAAACACTTCAAAGAAAGCGTTAATTTACCAATTAGTCAATCCAAGTTAATCCATTTAAAAGTATAAAATATATATACTGAATCAACACGACTTGCCCTTAATCGTTATTCAGCATATTTCCAAAGGTTTGTATGTAATGTATGGCAATTTAAGTGTAAATTAACTTCGTATCACATTACATTACACTAGTTTATTGAATTATACCTTTGTTGACCGACTGCATCGGGAAATGGAGGATATGTGTTTGTTACGATGTATCTGTAACTTATGAAGGAGTCGCTGACCCGCGCAACTTCGTCTGTTTGACACTTACTTGACATTTATCATTATACTAGCTTTTGCCCGCGGCTTCGATCGCGTTAATTTATCGCCTTAGGGGTGGAATTTATCAAAATCCTTTCTTAGGGGATGCCTACGTCATAGTAGCTTTATGTATGCAAAGTCTCAGCCTGATCGGTTTAAAATTGACAAAGTTTCATACAAACTTTCATCCCCTATTTTATCCCCTTGGGGGTAAAATTAATCGAAATCCTTTCTTAGCGGGTGCCTACGTCATAACATCTATCTGCATGCCAAATTTCAGCCCGATCCGTCCAGTGATTTGGGCTGTGCGTTGATAGATCACTATGTCAGTCACCTTTGAGTTATATATATATAGATATAGAGAAGATGTGCAGAATGCTACTATTTTTTTTTATTATGCATATAAAAACATTACACACACTACCATGTAATGAACAGAATAAAAAAAGAGTACAACAATTAAAAAAGTATTTATATATATATACTTATTTATTGTTAAAATTTTATAGACATAGTTTTTGTTTCATTAATATAAAGTTATTAAAACTTCATTAATTACATAAATTAAGTTATTCAATTTAGTATTTTGAGAATAAAACCTAATACTAATTCAATTTGTTTTTGCTTTAAACTTTTAATATAAATATAGAGCGAAAACGTTAAAAAAATCCGCTGTCAATGTCATTGATTCTTGACAAGTTTCTTATGGATTTATCTTTTTATAATATTTATATAAATCGTAGTTATGTAATATTATTTATATATTAATATAATTGTAAATTAATAATCATGGCCAAAAAAGATAAGAAAGGGAAAAAGGTAATTGTATAATATTACTTTTATTTTCATCACCACAGAGTAGAGAAGTAAGTGTTCTGTAAACTTCTGTAGTGCTGAGTTACTGATTGATCACTATCATTGTACAGACAATTACTAAGTTCATCTCGTTGATTCTCCCTACATAAAAACAAAAGTTTAGAAATCTCGACTACATCCTTGCTTTACAATTTTAAAATCGACTTTAACGCGTTATTAAAGTCGACATCTTATTGTATGGAATTAGAGATACCTTTCTTGACATAAAAAACAGTAATACATCATTAGCATTAAAGTGACATATAAATATAATTGGAGTGTCTGTTTGTAATATTGAAATAACCGTTTTTTACTACTGCATATGAATATAAATACGGTACATACACCAAAATAACATTTTTTACAATTTTTGTCTGTCTATCTATTTGTTCCAACTAATCTCTGAAATGGCTGGACCGATTTTAACGAGACTTTTATTGGCAGATAGCTGATGTAATAGGAGTAACTTAGACTACTTTTATTTTAGAAAAATAAAGTTAAATTACACGCAGACGTAGTCGCGTGTACAGCTAGTCTTAATTATATTTTTACGTCCTTACACAATCTGCTTCGGGGCTTATAGGAGAGCGCCTACTCTTCAAGCGTAGTGATTACTTGCTCAGTGACAAAATCCAGAGAGCTAAAGTTAAAACTAAACGTTTATTGTATATCAGAATCAATAGTTTAATCAATCAAGAACTTTTCAACGCATCTACTAAACAATACGAGGAGACGACATCCAGTATCAAATACTATTTCTCTTTATTTCTATTTGTTTTACATTACATTATTCTCCTATATGAACACTAAAATTCTATTACTATATTAGTTAACTAGCTGACTTCAGCTAGTACGTCTGCTTCACACTTAACATTTATGATTAAATTTCGCCCAATTTACATATATTTTTAAATTGTAGCCGATTATTCCGACGTATAAGCTATGTTACTGTAAAGTTTCATCAAAATCCGTTCGGTAGTTTTTGCATGAAAGAGCAAGTAACATCCGAAATTTTGTGAGTATGGATATACTCACAAAATTTCGAAAAAGATTAAAATTTTATGTTCAAACTACAGTTTAGTGGTAGAAAATGTAGAATGTGTTAAGTCCACGAAATGTACTTTTATGTTGGTATTATCTGCATTGAAGTTAAGTTAAGAAGAATAAATAAATATTTACATTGTTTTTTTCAGGACGATTCTAACGAACCTCCAGGTAATATTTAAATTATGTTCACTTTGTCTTAAGATATAAAAATGTAATTCCAAAGATTATTAAAAATAGCAACACGCGATTTTCTTGCTCGTTCTTCTTGTAACGAATATGAGTTCCGAATAAGCGGTAGAGTAAAAATAACAGTAAATTCAAATGTGCTTATACTGAACAAAGATTATTTCTATTTTCTATTTTTATTTTAAAATAACTGTTAAAATTACCTGTTAATAACCTATGTACATGGGCACGTTCAGAGGAAAAACAGGGAGGGTATCACTTCATAACATGATGTCCCTAGTACTGTTTATGTACATAGGCGACTGTTACCATTTACCACCAAGTCCGGCGTCAGCGTGTTTACAATTCCAAGTATATAAATAAAAATACTGTTTAGCTTTGACGCCCCGGTGGTCTAGCAGTTACTTCTGAAAGTCGCGGGTTCGAATCTTCGCACGGCACAATGTACCTATATGAATTTACCAAAAAAAAAACTATGCATTTGTATCAGTTATCTAGTACCCATAAAACAAGCTTCAGCTAGCTTAACAGGTATAGATGGCGCTGTGTGAATTGTCCTGAGTAGTAGAATATGTATAAGGATAATCAGTCAAAGTCTCTCTCATTTTCCAGAGTCTGACGTTCAGGATGAGATATTGCTGGCCACAACAAACTTGGAACCAGAACCAGAGGAGGTTCAGTACACAGACACCTCGTACACCAGTGCTTCTTTCGAGTCCTTACCACCTGTTATTGAAGGTAATCACCATTCACAATATACAAAACCTTTATATATATATATATATATATATATATATATATATATATAAATATCCCCTTGGGCACTTTGTGGCTCAGACGTGCCGTATAGGTAGTTTTTTGTTGATCCTTTTTCACTTGTTGATCCGGAGGCCTTTTGTTGATCTAATGCCAGATGACCATATATAAATGTTGATCCGTTTTGAGCCACAACTGTCACGACGAGTAATAATAATAATTAAGCGATTTATACACGATTTTATACAAATCCACCTTTTTGGCATACGAGCAGTTCTTGATCCAATTCAAACGGGCCAATCAGGGTGCAGCATTTGCCAAGGGCTTCCTCATTGGCACGTTTGGGCTACTACATTATGGCTACAGTAACTTAATAATGTCTAGCTAGTATTTCAAGAATAATAGTCTATCCAATCTAAATATTTATAGAAATCAGTCTGGAGTAACGTGACTCCAGATCAAACCTCAATACTTATTATTTTTTGGACGGGAATCTTTTCTTTTGTAACAAAGTTACTGAGCGAATAAAGAGAAGACGCAACGGCGGATCCAGGGGGGAGCGTCATGGAGGTCATGGGAGTCATGGGGGCGTCATGACTCTCCCCCCCATAGCCCAGGACTTAGGTAGACCACTAATTGAACTAAAAAATAATGAAACAGCAAATTTTTTTGCACGATCGGAGTGTTGGTGCAGTAGTATTAATTATAATTAAACATTGTTACTTAAAACATAACAGTTAAAGTACTATAACACTAAAAGCAAAATAGGTATTTTCAAAATACTTTTTCAAAATAAATTACCCTTTGAGTTTTTGTCCAAACCTCAGATATTTTATTTATTTTAGGTATATCAATCATTACATAGTATAGTATAAAACAAAGTCGCTGTCGCATCTAACAAGTACATAAATAAAGAAACAAGACTTTTTGGCTCTGAATATATTTCAAAAATCAATTACTTGTGTTAATCAATTTATATACTCGTTCTTATTTCATAGTACTTGTTTTGATCCGAATATATACAGATACCGTAACGGTCTATTAATTATGAATTTATTATACCTAACCTAGATATTTTATTTTGACGAAACTCCGTGTAGTAGTAGTATCCGATAAGGGTATGCGAACCCTAAGTATTATTTCAAAATGACCAGTAATTTCGAAGAAATAAGCCTTTGAATTTCAAATCAACTTACCAAACGGACGCTCAAGGTTCGAATCCCGCCACCGATTTTTTTTTGTTATTTTTTTTTTTGTCTTTATTCTAATTTTAAATTAACTATTTTAATAATTAAATGAATTTAATTTACATTACCTATTGTACTTTCTAAATTGTAAAGCAGCTAACAATTATAGTAAGATCTTATAAATAACTAACACAACAAGTAAAACATTTTAAATGTATTTTCTTTATTATTACAAATATTTTTTATGCATAATATAATAGTTAATATCTAATAAATACATAATGATCTGATAATCAAATTATAAGTACAGTCTCAAATTGAAAGTAAGAAAAACAGAAAATATAGAGAGAACTATAGGGATATAACAGAAAGATGTGAAAAATGGAGAAGGACAGTAAAAAAGTTACAAATTTAAATAATGTTGCCGCAATTTCTGTTTAAATGAATTTATTACATTATTATATATATTAGGCATACGACTAGCCTTATGACTGTTACTTTTTTTTTTAATCTATACATCTATACATGTAAATAAAATTGGAGTGTCTGTTTGTAATATTGAAATAACCGTTTTTTACTACTTGCATATGAATATAAATCCGGTACATACACCAAAATAACATATTTTACAAGTTTTGTCTGTCTGTCTGTCTGTTTGTTCCGGCTAATCTCTGAAATAGCTGGACCGATTTTGACGGGACTTTTTTTGGCAAGTAGCTGATGTAATAAGGAGTAACTTACGCTACAGTTATTTTAGAAAAATAAAATAAAATTTCACGCGGACGAAGTCGCTGGGGCCAGCTAGTCTATAGATATACCGAGATTTAATATTTAAGTTGCTATTATGTTGTTGACAAAATTTTACTGTAATGTTACTATTACGTTATCCTACACAATTTGTATTATTTTGGATGAATAAATAAATAAATAAATAATAATCTATACATCTATACATACAAATAAAATTGGAGTGTCTGTTTGTAATATTGAAATAACCGTTTTTTACTACATGCATATGAATATATATAAGGTACATATACCAAAATAACAATTTTTATAATTTTAGTCTGTCTGTCTGTCGGTCTGTTTGTTCCGGCTAATCTCTGAAATGGCTGGACCGATTTTGACGGTACTTCTTTTTGGCAGGTAGCTGATTTATAAGGAGTAACTTAGGTTACTTTTATTTTAGAAAAATAAAGTTTAATTCCACGCGGACGAAGTCGCGGGAACAGCTTGTATTTAATAAAAACATCTTTTTTGTGGTACTTGAGAATGTTGAAGCCTGTTGTTTGTAATATTGAAATAACCGTTTTTTACTACTTGCATATGAATATAAATACGGTACATACACCAAAATAACATATTTTACAATTTTTGTCCGTCTGTCTGTTTGTTCCGGCTAATCTCTGAAATGGCTGGACCGATTTTGACGGGACTTTTTTTGGCAGGTAGCTGATGTAATAAGGCTACTACCTAGTAACTTAGGCTACTTTTATTTTAGAAAAATAAAGTTAAAAACCACGTGGACGAAGTCGCGGGAACAGCTACTGTATAATATATTAGAGATACCTACGTGTTTTTTTATTGATGACTAGCTGTACACGGGATTTCGTCCGTGTGGAATTTAACTTTATTTTTCTAAAATATAAGAAGTTAAATTCCACGCGGACGAAGTCGCGTGTACAGCTAGTTGTCGGTAGTCTAGCGATTTAGCTAGCACACTGCTTTGATTCCTGCTTGGTGGTCGAGGGTTCGATTCCTCGCACGCTGCAAACATTTGTATTCATGAGTATGATTGTTTGTAACGGTCTGGGTGTTTTCTATGTATAGATAATGTATATGTATTTACGAAAAAAAATCTTTGTATTTATATCAGTTGTCTAGTACCCATAACATAATCTTCAGCTAGCTTAACTTGGGTCTAGATGAAGCTGTGTGAATTGTCCTGAGATTACTATTATTACTATAATAAATCTTTTCAAATCAGCCGATGTTTATTTTTGCCATAATACGTGCTGTTACCATGTGATAATATTACGTACGTACTTATTAAACTATTAACTTATTATTAAATTATTAACTATTTATACTGTTTTAAATGTGATGCGTTCATTATTTATATTTCCTTTGAATTAAAGACAAATGTATATATATATATATATATATATATATATATACATTTATATAAACTTGCACACTTAGTTGATCCAGCCACGATCCGTAGATATTGCTGATTCCACTGTCTCTCTCTTTCTATCACTATCTTTGTATTCTAATATGCGATGTTGCCGTTCCGGCATGGTCTCGGCCGGAACGGCAACATCGCATATGTTGCGCGTTGTTGCCAAATGTATTCGTCGATAGTAGTAGATACCTATACGCGATATATATTTTTTCAACAATTTCCTGCAATAGTGAATCCGTATCGGCAATTTTTTTAAATGCACAAAGATTTTTTGGCTCTGAATATATTTAAAAATCATTTACATGTGTGTTGATGAATTTATATACTAGTACATGAAGTACCTAATACTTGTTTTGATTTGAATAGGTAGCGATATTATGAATTTATTATACGTAATCTAAAGATTTTGACGAAATAAAAGTAATTAGTTATCTGTTAACCTTGACTTCATGCTGGCACCAGTATTATCAGATGATGAACATACTCTTCGAAAACTTACATACAGCAGAAATATCGTGTTTGGACTCATTAGATAGGTCTCGATGAATAGAGTTTAAAAAACTTAAAATAAATGGTAAATTAGAAATAATGTATAAATACCCCTTACGTAAAATTCAACCACTTTAAACTTAATAATAATAATAATTAGGAAAAGAGAAAAGCTATACATGTACTGAAAGTAATTGATGTCTTCCACACAATATTTTCACTATTAAACAACTCTGTTTGTTCAGTAAAAGTGTAAATACACTGGTAACCTTTAATCATATTTTATATGCAAACATTACATATACAAACCCTAAAGTTTTATTTCAGAATAGCCAGTAGTTTTGAAGAAATAAGTCTTTGAAATTGTACGTGTAACTTATATATATACTAGTTTTTTCACCATAACAAACAACACCAATATGGCCTAGTTAGTAGTTTACCTGTGTACCAATTAATAATAATAGTAATCTCAGGACAATTCACACAGCTTCATCTAGACCCAAGTTAAGCTAGCTGAAGATTATGTTATGGGTACTAGACAACTGATATAAATACAAAGATTTTTTTCGTAAATACATATATATTATCTATACATAGAAAACACCCAGACCGTTACAAACAATCCTACTCACGAATACAAATGTTTGCAGCGTGCGAGGAATCGAACCCTCGACCACCAAGCAGGAATCAAAGCAGTGTGCTAGCTAAATCGCTAGACTACCGACAACTAGCTGTACACGCGACTTCGTCCGCGTGGAATTTAACTTCTTATATTTTAGAAAAATAAAGTTAAATTCCACACGGACGAAATCCCGTGTACAGCTAGTCATCAATAAAAAAACACGTAGGTATCTCTAATATATTATACAGTAGCTGTTCCCGCGACTTCGTCCACGTGGTTTTTAACTTTATTTTTCTAAAATAAAAGTAGCCTAAGTTACTAGGTAGTAGCCTTATTACATCAGCTACCTGCCAAAAAAAGTCCCGTCAAAATCGGTCCAGCCATTTCAGAGATTAGCCGGAACAAACAGACAGACGGACAAAAATTGTAAAATATGTTATTTTGGTGTATTATGTACCGTATTTATATTCATATGCAAGTAGTAAAAAACGGTTATTTCAATATTACAAACAACAGGCTTCAACATTCTCAAGTACCACAAAAAAGATGTTTTTATTAAAAACAAGCTGTTCCCGCGACTTCGTCCGCGTGGAATTAAACTTTATTTTTCTAAAATAAAAGTAACCTAAGTTACTCCTTATAAATCAGCTACCTGCCAAAATGAAGTACCGTCAAAATCGGTCCAGCCATTTCAGAGATTAGCCGGAACAAACAGACCGACAGACAGACAGACTAAAATTATAAAAATTGTTATTTTGGTATATGTACCTTATATATATTCATATGCATGTAGTAAAAAACGGTTATTTCAATATTACAAACAGACACTCCAATTTTATTTGTATGTATAGATGTATAGATTATTATTTATTTATTTATTTATTCATCCAAAATAATACAAATTGTGTAGGATAACGTAATAGTAACATTACAGTAAAATTTTGTCAACAACATAATAGCAACTTAAATATTAAATCTCGGTATATCTATAGACTAGCTGGCCCCAGCGACTTCGTCCGCGTGAAATTTTATTTTATTTTTCTAAAATAACAGTAGCGTAAGTTACTCCTTATTACATCAGCTACTTGCCAAAAAAAAGTCCCGTCAAAATCGGTCCAGCTATTTCAGAGATTAGCCGGAACAAACAGACAGACAGACAGACAAAACTTGTAAAATATGTTATTTTGGTGTATGTACCGGATTTATATTCATATGCAAGTAGTAAAAACGGTTATTTCAATATTACAAACAGACACTCCAATTTTATTTGTATGTATAGATGTATAGATTATTATTTATTTATTTATTTATTCATCCAAAATAATACAAATTGTGTAGGATAACGTAATAGTAACATTACAGTAAAATTTTGTCAACAACATAATAGCAACTTAAATATTAAATCTCGGTATATCTATAGACTAGCTGGCCCCAGCGACTTCGTCCGCGTGAAATTTTATTTTATTTTTCTAAAATAACAGTAGCGTAAGTTACTCCTTATTACATCAGCTACTTGCCAAAAAAAGTCCCGTCAAAATCGGTCCAGCTATTTCAGAGATTAGCCGGAACAAACAGACAGACAGACAGACAAAACTTGTAAAATATGTTATTTTGGTGTATGTACCGGATTTATATTCATATGCAAGTAGTAAAAACGGTTATTTCAATATTACAAACAGACACTCCAATTTTATTTACATGTATAGATGTATAGATTAAAAAAAAAGTAACAGTCATAAGGCTAGTCGTATGCCTAATATATATAATAATGTAATAAATTCATTTAAACAGAAATTGCGGGAATATTATTTAAATTTGTAACTTTTTTACTGTCCTTCTCCTTTTTTAACATCTTTTTGTTATATCCCTATAGTTCTCTCTATATTTTCTGTTTTTCTTACTTTCAATTTGAGACTGTACTTATAATTTGATTATCGGGTCATTATGTATTTATTTATACATTTATGGGTTATATATTTATGTATGTATATTGTTATTTTTTTATAGAAATGTATATTTTGCTTTGTATTTATATATCTTTTTTTGACATTTCTTATTTATATTAGTGCACCGCCAATAATCTTTCGCTGCACCACTCATGGTTGCCTGGTAAATAACGCGGCAAGATATTAAGTCCGCCACATGTACAAATTTTTTTGTGCATTAAAGTTAAATAAATAAAAAAAATACAATACTGTTTAATGAAAATGCGTATTGTCTAGTGCTTTGAGATGTATCAAAATAAGGTCAACAAAAAAGTCCGTGATGGTATATGTCTATCTCTCAAGGATAACCAACAATAACCATTTTTTATCTTTTACATTTTACGGGAATTTTTTTTATCGTATGTTTCCCTTAAAATCATGTAAACTATGCTATTATGTCATAATCTAAAGAAATAATAATATTTTATAGTGAAATATCCACTATAAAATAGTAATGTAAGTAGCAATGTAATTCGTTACGCGCGAATCAGCTGTTATAAGGTCAAAGGTCGGTGCACCCCGCGTATTTGATAAATAGTGCTTCTCTGGATGTCTTTAAGAGAAAATGGCAGTATGTACGTGTATATGTACAAGTCCTTAAGTGTTAAGTTTTTCAAATGTACAATAAAGAATAAATATTTTTAAGTACAGTACTTACGTACATTAATATAATACCTACTTTTTACTTGTATCTATTGTCATCAAAATTAAATTATAAGTTCTTAACTTGACCACGACTATGTGACCCTCTCTTGGCGCCAAAACGAGTGAAAAAATGAACAGCATACGACGACGACGCATACCTATAGAGTGGAGCAACTGCTTATTCAGTTTTATTCAACTATTTAGTCCCTCCACCGTTATAATGAATGGAGGCGGATATTAGAATGTATGTAGCATTGCGAATATAAAATATCTAGATTAGGTATAATAAATTCATAATTGATAGACCGTTACGGTATCAGAGCCAAAAAGTCTTCTTTCTTTATTTATGTACTGTTAGATGCGACATCGACTTTGTTTTATACTACACTATGTAATGATTGATATACCTAAAATAAATAAAATATCTGAGGTTTAGACAAAAATTCAAAAGGTACTTTATTTTGAAAAAGTATTCTGAAAATACCTATTTTGCATTTAGTATTTGAAATACAAAACACGAAACTATTTTTGTTATTAGAGTGACATTTCTATGAATTCACTGTCGATAGCGAGCGGTGCGATGGAAAAAGATAACCGTTTATAAAAATATAATAAATAGCCCTGGACAATTAACACAGACTGATACTGAACTGATATAAATAGATATTTTTATTTTGTAAATACATATATAATATACATATAAAACACCCAGACCGATGAAATCAATCGATGACCGATGAGTACATATGTTTGCACCGTGCGAGAAATCGAACCCGCGACCATCGGATGTAAAGCGGTGTGACCACCGAGGCAGTCGAAATACATAAATAATCTTATGAATTTAATTTATTCTAATTTGTTTGTGTGCGCGGGGTGCGGTGTACGGTGCTCCCCCCTGCCTCCACCGTTGCTGGAGCTTGCATGTATGGAGCATTGCGAATATAAAATATCTAGATTAGTAAATTAATAAATTCATAATTGATAGACCGTTACGGTATCTATATATATTCGGATTAAAATAAGTATCGCAGTAAGGACCAGTATATAAAGTGATCAACACAATTAATTGATTTTTGAAATATATATACGGAGCCAAAAAGTCTTTGTGTATTCAAAAAATATCTAATTTGTTTGTGTGCGCGGGGTGCGGTGTACGGTGCTCCCCCTGCAACGGTGGAGTTACTATGTATGGAGCATTGCGAATATAAAATATCTACATTAGTAAATTAATAAATTCATAATTGATAGACCGTTACGGTATCTATATATATTCGGATGAAAATAAGTATCGCAGTAAGGACGAGTATATAAAGTGATCAACATAATTAATTGATTTTTGAAATATATTCAGAGCCAAAAAGTCTTTGTGTATACCAAAAATTTAGCCGTTCGGAGCCAGTCATGCACGAATTATTAGTAAAAAATGTGTCGAGTATATCGTACTATCGACGAATATATATGGCCACATCGCAAAATAGAATGCGACGTTGCCACCCCGCCTGAGATATACGCGATAGGAGTCAAGTTATTCAGTGCAAAAGGTGGAATCGGCAAGTGTTTAGGTTGTGGCGTGATCAACAAAGTGCCCAAAGAGGTGTTTATATATATAAAGGTTTTGTATATTGTGAATGGTGAGTTTATTCATATATATGAGTTTTTTTACTCAACTATGACGAAGTAGAAAGGAGGGTAATCATTTTAAGTCATTTCAAGATTAGCAAGAACGAACAAACTAACGTACGAACGAACTGTGAAAAATATTTTAAATTATTTTTTTGATATTTGTACCGTGTATGCTTTATCATATAATTATATACTTTTATGAGTATATATGTATTTATTTATATAACTTCAATAAACAAAATACGATGGTAACCGTACATGTGCCGGATTTGACGCCTTACTGCATTTTCTACTAGTCATATGTATATTTTTAATAATATATAATAATAATAAACTTTATTAACCAATAAAACACTCTTACAATATATATATTTGCATATATCATCATATATATTTATATATATTATTTCTCTGTATTAATATATTTTGATAATTCAATATTAGTTATTAAATTGCATTGATTTATTATCTCTGATCAACGCGACGCGACGGTTACCTGTTAGAGAAGCCTGGCCGCCATGCAAACAATGTTAAGTGCAAATATATGTATATAATATATATTTAGTTAAAAGCTGTTAATTTGAAATTATGGCACAAATGGATACTCATATTTGTATATACAAGAAATGGGCCAGTTTTCTATAACTTATAATTATTGATTAAACCAACAATCATGGTTGCCATAACAAAAACATCACCAACGTACAGTAAATTCATGTGCGAGTACAACAGAGTTAAAAAACCGTAATACACCACTTTGCATCGCTTATCGTCCATAAATATTGAGTTGGAATACATTTTCTTCACTAATATTATTCAATTGTTTGTCTCTTTAACATAATTTATTCTTTTACTATTGACATTCTACTACAGTGTATAAAGTCGTGTATAATTATGTAAAAACATTGTTTACTTGTTAATTTTAGAACCGAAGGCTAAGAAAAAGAAAGGAAAGAAGAAAATTGAGGTAATATATATACACATCTCTATGAAATATCAATAACTTGCTACTCGCCTCGGCTTCGCACGGGTGTACATGTATTTTATATATAAACCTTCCTCTTGAATCACTCTATATATTAAAAAAAAATACAGTACATCCACCAAAATAACATTTTTTACAATTTTTGTCTGTCTGTCTGTCGGTCTGTTTGTTCCGGCTAATCTCTGAAATGGCTAGAGGGATTTTGACGGGACTTTTTTTGGCAAGTAGTTGATGTAATAAGGAGTAACTTAGGCTACTTTTATTTTAGAAAAATAAAGTTAAATTCCATACGGACGAACCGGCCAGTACATCATATACATAGAAAACACCCAGATGATATATATAATAATTTTTTTTTTTTATTGGATTGTTTGGGCTATTGTCAGATGTGTAGCACCTGTAGCACTGCGACCTACATAGATCTATTGTGCTCGCCCTTTTCAGAGTTCGCTACCTAGACCGGTCAGGGACAAGAATTGAAGGATATTCTTAGGAGCGATCGTTTTTATCACCTCGGGAAAGAGTGTAAACTTTCCAAAGGAGATATTTCGTTTATGCATGAGTGGGCTACAACCACATAGGATGTGAAGCGGCGTTTCCTCTTCAGTTTGGCAGAATCTGCAGATACTTGTCGTGCATAGCCAAGGCCTAGTTTAGCCATATGCTTGTTTAATTTGCAGTGTCCTGTGAGGGCCCTAGTCATCATGCATATGTTGTTTTTACTCAATAGCAGTAGTCTATTGGAGTATTTGGTCGTAAATAATCATACTGATGTTTTTTTTTTAATTTCTTATTAAATTTAGGGACTTTTGTATAATCTAAGTACATACCAGTCCCATCGTACCCTAAAACTAATTAATCCTTTACCTCAGCAGTGAACATACATATACGTGCAATTGGTTAGTTGCGTTTGGTAGGAGAAATACGAATCTTTAGAAATGGTTACAAACTATACTCTTTTTCAGGCTGTCGAGGTCCTGAAAGACACAAGTGAGCTATTTCAGTGGTCAGAAGAATCGCTACCTGCAGGTCCATAAAAATATATATGAATACTAGCCACCCACCCCGGCTTATAAATCTTCCTCTTGAATAACTCTATCTATTCTCAAATTCCGTTGCGTAGTTTGAAACATTTAAGCATACATAGGTACGGACAGACAGCGACAGCGACTTTGTTTTATACTATGTAATGATTAATATAATATTATAATCTTTAAAATCTGTCTATTGAATTTAACCTTTTCACAACTAGGTTGAATCTTAATAAAATTTCAGATATAATACTCGTAGTCCGAGCATGCACTTAGAATTTATATTTTAATAAGTACTAAAAATATAATTTTTGCTCTTCATATCTTGTAATTGTAACGGTTACCTACAAACATAGACGGAGAATCATGAAAGCTCTGTAATATTATACACACATATATATAAATATAATTATCTTTAATGATTCCAGAAGAACAAAAGATAGAAGAAGAGCAGAAAGAGACCAAAAAGAAAAAAAGTAAAAAGGGAAAGAAGGAAAAGGAAAAAGAGGAAATACCCGAATTTGAAAAGGTATATATTAGAATAATGGTATCACATGTATCTAACTTACATACGTAGTTAAGTGGCTGTGTGTAGTTAAGTAAGAAACCAACATATTAATTCCTAATTTTCCTTTCCAACTCCCTAACTAATCTAAAACACAAAAAAGGTAAAAAAGACACTATAAATACAGAACTACTAAATCTTTTCTAAAGCGAGATATGTATGCGCATTGTAAGATTATACGAATATCATGTTTTAAGGTAAACTTATAATATATACTTTTGTATCTTCGTTTTATACATCTACTATATTATAATAGATACTAGCAGATCCCGCGACTTCGTCCGCGTGGAATTTAACTTTATTTTTCTAAACCAAAAGTAGCCTAAGTTACTCCTTATTACATCAGCTACCTGCCAAAAAAAGTCCCGTCAAAATCGGTACAACCATTTCAGAGATTAGCCGGAACAACAGACAGACAGACAAAAATTGTAAAAAGTATGTACCGTATTAGTATTCATATGCATATAGTAAAAAACAGTTATTTCAATTTTACAAACAGACACCCCAATTTAATTTATATGTATAGATTATTTACATTGGGGGAAGTTAGATAAGTGGAAGGGACAATAGAAAAAAATAATAATAAAAGTTCTATATCATTTAAACATCAAGTTATATATTTTGATTCTTAATCAAGAGATACAGCATAATTTACAAGAAAGAAATTTAGATAATACTAATCAATCGGCTAGAATAATTTTAGATTCCAGAGTTACTTTAAAAAGGTATTGTTAATCGAATTTTCTATAATTCCATCGGTTTAAAGATCATTTTCGCAATCTCTGTGATATTCGTTAATCGTATTAGCAATTTTATTACAATCATAAATCATTTATTGATGTTAGATAAAAATTCAATAGCCCATGATAATGCGTCCGTCACGCAACGAAACAATATAATTTTCCTTCAATAGATGTCTCAGTTGTCAATACTGTATCAAAAGTCAGTTGAAAATATAACCCGGAGTTGACGTACTCGTTTTGAGTTAATTCATTGAAAGATTATATTCTTTTTTATCAGCAGCAGTTAAAATTTTCTAAAAAGTAGAAAGTATTAAGTAGCTGTAATTACGTAGAGTTGTTTATTGCGACGTGACTTAAAAAAGTTTTTATAAAAGCTAATTTATGAATGTTAGCTATAATTATGAAATTTATATATAAAATAGTAGAATAGTAGAAGAGTATTAAAATAACATACTACTAAAAGGAATAATAGTAATACAAAATAAAGTAGTTTTTTTTATAATTGTAATATTATCTTAAATTGAACAGAAAAATTTTAGAATCCTTTCGTAGTAGGTTCTAAATAAGAAAAAAAAATATAGATACCTTCATAATTTAAAACAATAAACGAGTGTCAAATCTACAGCCAAAGAATTGGAAAAAGATGAATAAAAAAGAAAGAGAAGCTTGGATGCTGCAGAGGATAGAAGAATGGCGGGCAGAGAAGGAAGCGGAGAAGTTAGTTAGCCTTTCCTTTTTAGCTCTAACCTTTCCAATCCATACCTTCGGTACTCTATGAAAATTGTTAATGTCTAGTACGTAAAATATTGCTGTTTCACATGAAAATAGTTTCCTTGGCTGAACTGGGCTACTCATACAAGCCCTTCAAAATTAATGTATGTAAACAGTAGCGTGCAAATTTACCACACTAAATATAACATAATTTGCAGCACAGTTTCATACAGATAATATTTTGTAAACGTGACAAAAACCTACCTAGATAGATTAGAACTAAGAAATATATAGCACATTAATTGAATTTATTCTTTATTGTACACACATATAGGAAATAATAGTAATACAATAAATGTAGTGTTCAAAGGCGAGCTTTGCTTATCTCTAAAAAGAGATTTCTTCCAGTAAAGCAAGAAAATTTCATAGGATAGTATATTAACTACAATAGTCATACATAAGATAGATAGATAGATAAATTCTTTATTCACAATTACAGACACATAACATACATGAGATACAGAAAAAACACGAATTAATAAAAGAAATGTAGGTGACTTTATGTGCCGCAAAAGTGAAAAGGCAGCCAACTCAGCATAATGCTACAGATAACTGCAGCGCTGTTATTCTGTTGGCTCCTCACTTATACTATACTTATTACTAAATAAGTGTATTCTAGTCATTCTTGTCTATATTCCAAAGCGAGTTATTTTTTTTTTTTTAAGTATACATAGATGCAATGCTAACGGAATTGTAATAATCAGCCGTTTATATAAGAACTGAAATGGTAAATATGTAATAAAATATATAAAGACAGATTAGTGCCTGATTGGATAAACTGGCTTTATGACACATTTATTCCATGATTTCTTTGTCGTTGATTAGCTGGGCATTGATTAATGACTAATTTTATTATATGGCTGTCTGAGCGTTCGTATCTAAGGCAGTGTTGTTTTTTATCTATAACCTAACGGAATTTCTTCGACAAACGCCTCTATTTCACCATAGGAAAGGTGAAGATAGAGGCAGGCGTTCGTTGAAGAATTCCTCTTTTATTATTCTATCATGACAGCCTATACCAACTTTACTTGGGTCTAATTTTATACATTTCTAGTACCTATATATTCTTCTCATTTGTCTTTGTTTATCTGTAATCATTTATTTGACGGCCTCGGTGGTCTAGTGGTTTAGCACACCGCCTTACATCCGACGGAGGCGGGTTCGATTCCTCGCACGGTACAAACAATTGTATTCATAACTATGATTGTTTGTGTCGGTCTGGATGTTTACATACAGAACATACATAGATAATAATAGATATTGTGTATGTATTTACATAAAAATGTATATTTATATAAGTTGTCTAGTACCCATAACACAAGCTTTGCTTAACTAGACACTAGATGGCGCTGTGTGAATTGTCCAAGAATATTAATATTGATTTAAATGAACTAAAATATTTTCATATTCGTTGTCTATTTTTGTAATATTAATATAAACTATATTTTTCTCCGTTACCATGCCCTCATGAATTACATTAAAATCCAAGTACACGTACTACATTTTAATCTATGATATGGTCTATATCTATTGTTATCTATATAGAATTTTATTCTAATCCATTCAACTATTTGAACATCAATCAAAATCAATATATCTTTAGCTATATTTAAATCTATTACAGATAGTTGTATTGTTTGTCTTCCTAATTATTAGATCTCTGGCACACACTACTGTCCTTATTCGCTGTTTACCGCTTAATGGCTTCATGACGCCAGCAGTGTGCGCTAGAGATGGCATAATGCTTCTTTCTCTTTCCCACATGATACAGTTATGTTAACGCAAATCTACAATCAGTTCGAAAGTGTATAACATAAATCTATTTCGCAATTTGTCATATTTTATAATATAGGATAAAAAATATAATTTAAATATATCTTTCTAGACAAGCAATCCTGGCGGGCGCGAAAGAGAAACGCGCTGCCCTAGCGCGGGAAAGAGCGGAGTTGATGGCGAAAGATAATGCTGAGCAAGAGATTAGAAGGGATCTACTGCAGAAGACATGTGACTTATTCCACAGTAATTTATTTCTCACTTTTTATTAATTCTTTTCACGTATTTTCAAATAAGTTAAAACTAACAGCCAAATAAACGATTTATCTATCTATTTAACTAAATATTACATGTCATTTCTCGCGACTTCATACGCTTTTTGTGACAAAAATACTATTTTATTAGGATTCGTTCATCCGTTAGGTATGTATATATTTATATGTACGTATATATATCTCTTAGAGTTACAAATCTGTAATACAAACTTACAAAAACTCTATTCTTTTCAAAGTTATCCTTTTTATTTGTTAAATATAAAAAGGTTTCTACATTTCAGAATTTGAAAAGCAGAAGCTGGACTTTCATAACAAGAAACAGATGCAAGCGGAGGTAAATATTAATAGACTGTCTGATATTGGTAGTAAGACTTAAAACCCTTTAACACAAACTGAAAACTATACGAGTAGATGGTATTGTGACATCTATTTAATATAAATGTCATATATAAAAATTAAAGAGACTGAATGTAACCGATACCAAAAAGAAATTATAATTTTTAATTCGTAACTAATTCTCCGGTTAACAAAAAAACACAAAATCAAACATAACCTCGGTGGTCTAGCGGTCTAGCACACCGCTTTACGACCGATGATCGCGGGTTCGATTCCTCGCACGGCACAAACATTTGTATTCATGAGTATGATTGTTTGTATCGGCCTGGGTGTTTTCTATGTATAATATGTATATATTTACAAAATAAATCTATGTATATGTATCAGTTATCTAGTATCCATAACACAAGCTTTAGGTAGCTTAACTTGGGTCTAGATGGCGCTGTGTGAATTGTCCTGTGATTATTATTATATTATTATTATAGATGGAGTAATCAGAGGCATTATGTCCATATTATTGTGAATCAACACTTGATATTGGGAAAGGGATTGTTAATTATGTGGACTATATTTGACCCTAATAAATTAGTGCTGGTTAATATTTGTATTCACACGTTTCGACTTGTAAAATGTGATTATTTAAAAGAGCAACATTCAAGTTCCTTGCTCGTTCTTCTTGTGATGAGACAGTTTTTCGAATGAGCGGTAGATTAAAAAAAAATGCTACGAATAGTCGTAGCATTTATTTTAATCTACCGCATTGAATTAAGTTTATTTGAATAAAAGATTTTCTATTCTATTCTAACCTATAAGGATAAAATTTGGTAAAAGTGTTGAATAAAAGACTTATTTGTGTAATATTTAATTATTTTATTCAAAAACAGACTATATATCATGCTTCTTACGCTGTTTGTTACAGTGGCAACAGTACCTCCGCTGTGATGGACTCCCTGATCCCCGCGTCGTGACCCAGATGAACACATACTTACACCTGTGGCAGCTGAATCCCAAATGCGATGATAACGAACTCGAGAAACGATGCATTGAAGCCCTACCTGTAAATATTTATTTTACACTAGCTGTAACTTCGTCCGCATGGAATTTAACTTTATTTTTCTAATATAAAAGAACTTTTCTAAAACAAAAGTTACTCCTTATTACATCAGCTACCTGCCAAATTGTAAAAAATGTTATTTTAGTGTATTTATATTCGTATGCATGTAATAAAAAACGGTTATTTCAATATTACAAACACACTCTAAAATAAAGACACTCCAATTTTATTTATATGTATAGACTGTGATAGTTGTAAGATACGTTTGAAATTATACTTCGGTGAATAGTAGTTTGTGTATGGTGTACTTATAATGAACTAGCTGACCCTGCAAACGTTGTGTTGATATGTACATTAAAATCGCTATTAAAAAATGTATTGGGGTTGGTTATAGAATGGTGAAAATTTAGGGTTGTATGTATTTTAATGTCACATTACATAAAAATAAAAATGCCTAAATAATTATGCCCAAAAAATAAAAAATAAATATTAGGAGTGGACATTACAATCCTTATCACTTAGGGGTATGAAAAATAGTAGCGGATTCTCAGACCTACTGAATATGAATATACAATTTCATAAAAATCGATCCAACCGTTTCGGAGGAGTATGGTCACTGACTTTGTGACACGAGAATTATATGTATAAGATTAAAAAAACACATGGCAATGTATATTGAAGAGCGGGATGTACCTGACATAGGCATTGCTATGCTTACTAGATCATCCCAACACTGTGTTATTGGGGGAAAGGGGATTGTTAGCAATGTGGACTCGACCCCATTACTAGCAATGTACCATGTCAGGTTGACCTCCACGCGGTTCCCCCTGGAAACCATCATGATAAATTCCTGGTGAATTTGTCACGATGGGCTAACTGACCTGACCTCATGTTCAGCTTGTCATCCTCCACTGGTGCTCCGCCAGCGTAAACCGTTAGCGCAAGCGGATGCATCATTCCATTATCATCCATAACAAAAAAAGCCCTTATTACTAAGGGATATTAAAAAAAACATTGTGTTATTAACTCCACATATTACGTTTCAGATGTTGGAAATGCTAGAGGAGTTCGTAGCCAACTCAAGACAATACACGCCACTACAGGCGCAAAGCTACAATGAAGTAAGTCAATGTAATAGAAGTAGGAAGGGAAAAACATATCACGCCGACCCCGAACAAATGGGATAGGGAAGAAGCAGATAATGATGATGATGATGATGACTAATGTTTGACGACCTCGGTGATCTAGCGGTTTAGCACACTGCTTTAATTCCGATGGTCGCGGGTTCAATTCCTCACACGGCACAAACATTTGTATTCATGAGTATGATTGTTTGTATCGGTCTGGGTGTTTTCTATGTATATTATTTATGTATTTACAAAAAATATATATCTAAGTATTTACAACAGTTGTCTATTGCCCATAACACAAGCTCTGCTTACCGTGGGACTAGATGGCGCTGTGTTAATTGTCCAGGGTAATTTTATTTATTTATTATTTTTTATTATTCTTAATGTACCTATATTTTTGAATAAAACATATTCTATCTAGATTTCCTTCATTTCATAGGTCCGACTAGCACTCCGCGAGCAGCTCTCAAACGCAATCGAACTTGCGTCGTACACCCTACTGCGAGACTTGGAGAATCATCTAAAGTTCGACTCCATAAAACTGGCCACGTACCAACGGGAGTTTAAAGGCTTGCGGCTGAACTTGTGGGTCGCAGTTAGAATGCCTACGAGGAAACCTAAACCAGTGGAACCTGATCCGTAAGACTTTAAGTAAATTCTCTAAGTTGTAATCGTGGACATATCATACACAGTTATACTATAATATAGTAGTAATAAGCCTGGAAAATTCACACAGCGCTTCTAGTCCCAAGCTAAACAGAGCTTGTGTTATGGGTACTAGATAACTTATATAAATACTTAGATTTTTATTGTAAATAGGTACATAATATACATAGAAAACACCTATACCAATAAAAACAATAATACTTATGAATACAAATCTTTGCATCATGCGAGGAATAGAACTTGCGTTTCATGGAAAATAAGGCGGTCTGCTAAACCACTAGACCTTTTAAAAACTACAACACAGCTTCCAAAAGAAGCCTCCAAGACAGCAGAAACAGTTGACACAAAAATTCCAGCGCAGACGACTTTAATAAAGTGTAAAAATAATAATGTACATAATAGTTTTAAGATATAAACTTTTTGGGAATTAGCGATAAGTTTAGAAAAGGACAAACTTCTTCGCATTACATGGATTCACCGTGCAGGTCTCGGGTGCGCAGCCAAATTTGATAGGAGTCTGCTACCTGCTATCTCTGCTGCTATATCTCTTGTTCCCACTTTGACTGCATATAAATTAACCACTTAGGCGGTTTTCGTAATATTTATTTATTTTATTGGATCGTCATTAGGTCTATCTGTTTCTCATAGTACAGTGAGCTCTACTAATATTACACATCTAATTTTTTTCGTATATAGGAATATATTCGGTCTGGATGGTGAAATACCTACACCCTCTGAGATTTTTAATGCTTTTCGTAAGTTCTAATAATTTAATAAATGAGTTAAATAACGTGTTCTTTAATACCTTTTTTAGAGAACCAGTGGAGCTTTCCTTTCCGTCGATGCGCGTTGGCGTGAAACTGCCCAAAATCATCGATGGATCCTGCATTTGCGTCAGAGCCGCCCGGTCTATGCTGGACTTGCTCAGCGAAAGTTCTAGAAGTTACGCTTTAGCAGCTGATATGCCCAACAGGTATGAAGGTAAGTGTTCTTACTTATGACTAACTGTTACTTGTGGCTTCATGTATTTTTTAATAAAAGAGTACCTGTATCCATTTTAGTATATTTTCATTAAAATACAGATAGACCCTGTTTTACGTTAGGTACTAGTAAGAATAATGGAAAATATATCTGGTAAATCTTGCTAATATTATAAATGCAAAAGTTTGTTAGTATGGATGGATGTTTGTTACTCTTTCACACAAAAACTACTAATCAAATTTTGATGAAACTTTACAGTAACATAGTTTATACATCAGAATAACACATAGGCTATAATTTAAAAAGATATTATGTAAATTATAAGTTGCGAGGGTCAAATAGTATAACATATTTGTTGAAAATCTTGCATGAACAAATTTTGGATTCTACTAATCTTTAAACAGGCTAATGAGAACTTACAACTTTTATTCAATGAATCACTTACATATTTACTGACAGTTATTGTAAATCCTAGTTAAATGAGGACTATAGGTAAATGTCACATATTTTATTCATTGTAAATACAATTTTTTCATATAAATATCGTAGTTAATTGTAATGTAGTAATTGTGTTTTGGTTGGTGTAAACCCTGTTGGTGAACTTATAAATAAATATTTCAGATCTATTCATATTCAATGTGAAAGAGCATGTCGATATTGACAAGCTGAAGAAAGTACAAGACGAAATCAGGTCGAAATTCTACAAAGAGATACGGGAGAAGATAAAAGAGTTGGAGAACTTCTTAAAAGCTAACCCGTGAGTTCATCGCTTTTTTAAAATGGACGATAATAGAATGGTACACTCGTCTGCATTAACAACGTACGAAGCAATGGATTCATGAATCCTCTTTACTAATAATTACTTCTCCTCCAATTCATAAGAGCCTGTACCATACTAGTAGCCTATCCCGGATATGCCCGCGTGCAGGCCCTCGTCGAAGTTCACCTGTCGATTTTCTATGTGTTACATATATTAACATAACGTACAGGCTGTTATTCTGGAAGAATGTACATTTAGAACAGTGACACAATCTGAGACCCAGTGATTCTGTTGTTGACTTTCTTTATAAAAAAAATCGGTCTCTCTCTGTTCACAATATTGGTTCAGTATAAGATTAAGTTTAAGTATATTATTATATTGTTCCACAAGAGTCACGAGTAGTATCAAGAATTAGAGGCCGAGTGATTTATGTTTATTTATATTGAAAAAACACAATTCCATTTACAGATACACAAAAAACGAGAAGGAGAAAGACGACTTGGATAATTTAAATATGGCGGAACCGCCATTCCTACCGGATCCTAGGACTTTTATATCCGAACAAAATGGTTGGTAGTAATATGCAATTTCACGCTCTCTTCTGTACACACACATATGTACAGTTATTTTGTTATTTGTATAACTGACATTATTATTTTCTATTTATATATTGACTTCAGCTGCGATGTGATACAGCAGAAGTTTTCGTAGGGCTAATTGTTTATGTTTAAATTTATGTGTATATATATATATATATATATATATAGAACTATTGTATATATATGGAATTAATATAGATATATAACCTTAGTTAAGTCTCTTTTCTATTTGTTTTTTTTTTTTGCTTAATAAAGTTATTATTATTATTATTATATGGGTGTGTGTGTGTGACACACAGCGCCATCTGATCAGAAAATCAGCAGAGCTTAAGTTATGGATACTAGACAACTGACATGAATACATAGACGCATTAAGCTATGTATAGAAAACAGAGACCTATTACAAGTAATCAAACTCATGAATACAAATGTTCGTACCGTGCGAGGAATCGAACCCGCGTCCATTGGATGTAAGGCGGTGTGGTAAGCCGCTAGACCACTGAGGCCGTGAAATGGTTCTATTGAGTAAATAGTTTACAAAACAACAATACATTTCAAATAGGTTCAATAAAATGAGGACGTGTACTCAATTCAATTATTTTCGGTGTCAGCCATGAATTTAAAGATGTTTTTGCATTAATTCGAATTAATTACAATTAATTTCATTACTTTTAAGAACGCCCTAACCTAGTAGTTTATTATCCCGACATAAAAACCTCTAAAGTTGTGTATTCAAATCTGACCTACATTAATAACTTGTGTGAGTGATAGCTAACTGTGTCACTATAGCACAGTCAACTGTGCTATAGTGATAGGTAACTGTGTCACTATTGCACAGACAACTGTGCTATAGTGATAGGTAACTGTGCCTCTGGCTATCCTAGTTGAGATTTCAGTCATAATTTTATTAATTTTTAAATATTATCTACTAAATAATAATAACAATAAATATTTTATCTCTGTTTTAAATACATACATAATATACATAGAAAGCATCCAGACCGATACACAAACACAAATGTTTGTAATACTCTTTTTTCGGACTACTGTAATGCTTTTGGCCGCAGCTGGCCTTTACAGCTTCACCGGACGATAGGGGGCGAGTGCAGATGGCATTCCAAACCCGCGGAAGGACTTATAGAGCGGCTGAAGGCTAACTACGACTTTAGTCTGAGGGTATCGCTAGGGGTTCGAACCTCGTCTCAGGCCGTCGTAATATCGATCCCCGTTTGAATTGGATGGAGGATCGATCGGAGGGGGATATAACGTTGTAATACCAGCAACTTTCATCAGTAAGGCAATGTGGTAAAACCTCGGTGGTCTCACCGAGGTTTTCAAGTTATGGAATAAGCAAAGAGAAAAGTGTGCCAAGAACTTAATTCTTTACTTTTGTGTTTTTTCTATTTTGTCCTAACTATTGCCCTGTCTTGTTCATATTACACACGAATACAACTATGATGTTTTACTTGCAGAATTAGCGTTCACGAAGTACCTCAAAATGTGTATGACGAGAACACGCTCTGGTGAAATTAATTTACGGAAATACAGGTAAATGATTATATAGTATAAAACAAAGTCGCTGTCGCTGTCTGTCCGTCCCTATGTATGCTTAAATCTTTAAAACTACGCAACGGATTTTGAAGCGGTTTTTTTAAATAGATAGAGTGATTCAAGAGGATGGTTTATATATATAATACATGTACACCCGTGCGAAGCCGGGTCGAGTAGCTAGTATTATATAACAGAGCTGTCTAAAATATATCAGGCGGCCCTCGGCTTGAATTGATGTGGCCGGCTAAATATTTGTTTTCTTTATTTAAACAATAACATTTTTGTGTAGAGAAAATTATATAAAACTATGTATTATTATTTTTTTGGAATTTCAAATGATTTGATGAGCAATTTCTTTTCTCTTCTATTCTTATAAGCATGCGCTGCGTCTAGCTACTACACTAATATTAACGTTGATGTTCACAGAATTGTAAAAGATAAATTAATGAAAAAGTAATGCAGTCATAAAATAATTATTTTATACCTCCATTTTGTTTTTGCAAATATATTGCGGCTCCGCTATAGATTTAGTTATTTTTATTGGCCCTAGATCCTATTTAGTTTGGACAGCTCTGATATAGAGTAGCAGAGTAGAGGGACAGAAGGGACAGAGAGTGGCCTCACTGTCCCTCTAAGTTATAGACCGTTTTATCTCGATTATTACTTCTAAATTTTATTATTATATAATAATAAAATTTAGAAGTAATAACAGCATTTGTAACAGTTTATTATTTGAGACAAATAAACATTATTATTATATTATTATTGTCCTCGTATAAACTTCTACAAGATTTTCATATATGAAAAATTGGTCAAAATGTGATGTTCGATGTTACAGAGCCAAACAATTTTGATATACGAGATTTTATAAGATTTTTATTGTATATTCATACGAGACAAAATTTTTTAACATTGCGTGAAAGAATAACAAACAAACATCCATCCATACTCACAAACTTTCGCGTTTATATTATTAGTAAGACATTACCTGTACCATGCAATATAACTGCCTTATCTTCCCATCAATAAAATCAAATCTTAGTCTAATTAGTCTTAAGATTTTGTACAAAGTCATCCATTTTATTTTTGTATTATACCATACACCAGAATGTTTATTCAGGATATGCGGTGGTGTACTCCATTTGGATCTGCTGACGACGCCGCCACAACCGAAACGAATGCGGGGCTCCATCACGCTCACCACACGTGAGTAATTTTGTTTTTATAATAAAACTAGCTTTGCCCTCGGTTCACCGGTGTGAAATTTATAGCCTGTGTTTTTCTGATGTATAAGGCGTATTACTGTAAAATTTCATCAAAATTCGTTCAGTAGTTCTTGCGTGAAAGAGTAACAAACATCCATCCATCTATCCAACTATACTCATAATCTATCGTGTTTATAATATTGTGAGTAAGATAGTGTTTGTTTGATTTTTTCATTTATTTGAGGTGAGATGAGGTAAGTATTTTGTTAATAGTGTTTGTCTTTGGATGTCTCATTATAATTATGAAAATAAAGAATATAACGGTCTCGGTAGTCTAGCGGTTTACCACACCGCCTTACTTCTGATGGTCGCGGGTTCGATTCCTCACACGATACTATCATTCGTATTCATTAGTATGATTGTTTGTACAGATTTGGGTGTTTTTTATGTACTATTGTGTGTTTGTTATTATATAAATATTACAATTGTCTAGTACCCGTAACTCAAGCTCTGAATAGCTTGGTACTAGATAGCGTTGTGTGAATTCTCCTGAGATATTATCATTAGCATCATCATCATAATTATCACTATTATTATATACAAAAAAGATCTATGTACAATATTTCATAAAAATGCCGTAATTATTCAGGTAAATAAAACAACGTAGTATTATATCATTAAATTTATATGTACATATATTATTAATAAAAATAGGCTTAGAATTGAACCTGCAATTCCTAAATCATATTTCATTATCATCCGAAGTAAACATCTCAAGCCATTTCTTGTCTAAGTTCATTTTAGATTTGTTGCTAAAATATTACATTAAAACATTCTTCTGAATACAATACCCGTGTAAGATCATATCCATAGAGTTAGCAAATGACTATAATAAATAGTAACTCTAGTATTTACTTAGGTAAAAACTATTCCAAACATATAATACCAGAATTATACTGACAAGAGATTTTTATGCACAGAAGGCGGTCTTGACGCAAGCAAACATCTCTTTCAGACAACATAGTTATCCAGAGTGAAACAGCAATACTCATTTTGTTTCTATCTAAAGATTAAACTAGCTATATCTCTGACAAGCTAGACTCTTCAGCTATCAATAATATCAATATGCATGTATGATGTCTAAAATATATTGGCATTTGCTGTCAAATCTTTGAAACTCTTAGTGGCTATCTAAGTGCCCAACTGATAGAAATAAGAATCAGCGCCTCTTTAGACTACACCAAGAATATCATGTTATCAAGTAGCGTCATGGCATCTTTTAAGATCAGAGTAATAGTATCCCTGAGACCAGATGGTAAGCAGTAACCGACGACTTTATGAATAGCAATATATATATCACTTACCATGTGGCACCCGAAATCCAGCTATACCACTTGTTCGTTGTCATTCCGTAGAACTAAGATGTCATGCCTTATCCTGTAATTTTACTGCCATGTCTCTTACTATCAGCAAACTTTACAAAGCAATCACTTTGGATGCAAAAATAAGGCATAGTACGGTCGCTAAACAGTTAACACTAAGCTTCCAAACTATATCTGAACTCTATTCATTACCTGATGATGCCTCGTTTGGAGAACACGTGTCGCAATTTGGGTGTAGATTCAATAATTATTAGAATTTGATCTAGTAGAGAAAGTTATAAAGCTTCCAGTGGCAGAGGTCAAGTTTCAATACTTAATATTTGTAGTCCCACAGATAGTAGTGGTAGTGGAATTATACAAAATAATATAAAACCATTAAGTGAGAAATAAGTGAAACAGAGAACTCACACAGACGAGTTTACACAAAGTCTCCATACCATGCATAAGCTATGTTCAGCTTGCAATGCAAGGTTATAATGGCAGGTTTTATTGATTGTCAAAAGTGAATGTGCTCGGTAAGGCAATGATCAAGCCAAAGTACTATTCTTATTGCGTTGCTGCACCACCAAGCTCTTTTTCAATCTCTTCCAAAATACCGCTTGTTCCGATGTCGCCTTTGGCCATACGATGTAGGTTTTCGTTAACATTAAATAGTGTAATGTGGTCGGGCGCAGGCCCCTCGGGATTTCTTCTAGTAACACTAAGAGCAGATCTTCTCGGCGCGTCTCCAACAGTCTGTAATATATGTGGTATAGAGTATTAGCGGCGAAGTGCCTTGTTTTCCGGTGGTATCATGTTTTTTTTTATTTAAACTACGATGATGGCAATCAAGCATACGGCCCATCTGCTGGTAAATGGGTACCGTAGCCTATGTATATATTTACTTAAGCGTTTCCGGATAAAGTACACAAATACAATATTATAAAATTTTCTCGTTTATATGGATGATAATAGAATGGTGTCTCCGCCTGTGCAGTGGCGGTGGCAGAGCACCAGTCGAGAATACCAGGATGAACATGCAGTCTATTAGCAAATCATAATAAATTCACCAGGAGTTATCAACGATGGCTCTCAAGAGGGCCCTCTTGTCAACCTGACATAGTACATTGCTAACAGTGGATTACTTATCCTATTACAATAACGAAAAATTCCCTCCCATTTTGAAGTTTGAAGTCTATTACACGTACAGCGTTTGAGGTGTCCTAAAATATTTGCTAATTTATAACCAAGTAACGAACAGTTTTTCTCATTCAACTATATATTAATTATTGTAGGGACTTCTTTTTTTTTTTATTTATACTAAATTTTATTGGCTGAACTTGTTTGTTACCAGTACCAAACATTTATTTAAAATATTGTTGTAACGAACCTGTGCTGTGCCAAATGCATCTCGAACTGACACCATTGGCTTCGCAGGAACTGCTTAGAAAGTACCAACATTATAGTCCTAGAACGGTCCATACATGAAACTATATTTTCTAGAATTGAGAGGCCCACCTGCAACAAAACAATAGTTTAAGCACACAATACTTGACACTATATGAAAATTAGAGACAGCGTCATCTAGTACTAGACAAGTAATATAAATACTCTATATCTTTTTGTTAGTAACATGTTTACTATACATAGAAAACATACAAATATGTGTACCACTTTAGGAATCGCACCCGCGACTATCTAAAGCAAATATATTTTTAGAGAAGTAATTACACTAATAATGTTCTGTATTTAGTATATTTATTGCTTAACAGTCACTTTTTTTATATTCAAGCCGTCTAGTGCTGTTTATGTATATTATAATTGTTAGACGGCTACCGCTAATCAAGTGGACAAACAGATTTTGTCGATTCAATTACATTAAAAAAAGATACCTCTTTAAACTCACCTGGAAATCTCTCTCATGTAAGCATACACTGACACTACACTCGGTTTCCAAATGAGGCAATAGATAATCCAGCATCCAGGCTCTGTCATCGTTGCAATAGGATACGAAGACGTCATAAGTATATATCTTTCCATCTGAAAATATAAAAAATCATCTATAGAAGTAATAATGTGTCTATTCAAGAGTATTTATATTAAATTTATTTCTATTTCTACAATTTAGTAAAGTAAGAAACGTTTACTATTAGATGGACCATATGCTCTTTAGCCAACATCTTGACATAAAAAGTTATTAAGCGATGAGTAATATTCTTAGAAGATCGGAATTTAAACTTGAATTAATCAATTAAATTTCAAATTATCTTCAACGTTCAAATTTTAAAGTAGGTATTCTTTTGTTATATCTACTATCTCATCTACTTCTGTTGCCAGCAGCTTGCCTGGTCAACTGTGTTCGGGTTTGAAGGGTTAGATTCGGCGGTAAATTAAATCCATGACTCATTGGCCTTTAGAATGGTAACACATGAAAGATATTACAAATTGATTTGTGATTCCACAATATTTTTTTGAATGCACAGTTCGGATTTATTATACCGTTTTTTAGAAATCTTACTTTACCGTCTGTTTGTACAAATCAAATAAATTCTTAAAGCGTTCATTAAGTTAATACTAGAATGACAATAGATTCAGTTGCTCATACGTTCTCGTTTTTTATTGTTACTATGCAAGTATACAATTCAAGTTACCTTCATTAATATCGGTTTTCGATATCAAACTCAACGTGGCTGAATTCCTCATAGTTATAAAGAAATAACCAAATCTTCTTCTGCATATAAATATTATTAATAATAATGGTAATAAGATTGTTGGTAGTATCAATAACAGCAGCATGTTAGCGCCGTTATTGAGGTAATTTTTTGGTAACCCACGCTGCCAATCTATACATGTTTTCACACTGATAAAACTCATATATGTATTCTTATACTCATGAAAACAGGCATACGAGTATAAATCATAATCTATTATTAAGAATTTATGGTTTCTATCTTCATAATTCTTCTTACATTTCTCCTTGTCACACAGTTTCGAAATGTTCACTCTTAATTCTATTATTCTGTTGAATTCGCTATCAGCTATATGATAATTAGCCGCTTTTAGAGTGTCTTCAGTGGTCTGTGTTGATAATTCTATTGCTGTTTGAATCTGTTCATTATCATTTCTTGCCGCCAGGTCGATAAGTTCCCTTGAATGACAGTTACACACTACATGATTCCCAGATAACGATACGAAAGATATAGTAGCAATGTCATCTAGCATTTCCTCTGAGATTAAATTTAAATTATTATCTTTCAAAGACAAAAACCGCAAATGCGGCATAGTGGAGAAAATGGGTGCTATCCAAGAAGCAAATCTGTTTCTCTCTAAGTCTAAAATCTTTAAACTGGTCAACGAAGCGACCACTCTTGCTGTAATTACCATTACTTCGTTGTTCACCAATTTCAATACTTCAAGTTTTCTAAAATTGTAGAAATAATGAAAATTTTCAAATCCTATTTCATTTGCGTATAAAACTTCTAGGGTGTCTTCTAAACCCGCCAAAATATTAGTGTTATCTAATATTCCATAGTTTCCCGACAGGTCTAAATATTTTACAGAAGTCTTACTCAAAGCTTTTTCGGGAACGTTTCTGACTTTACTTCTACATAATGAGAGTCTTTGGAAGTTTTTCCCCAATCCAGTCAGTACTCGCACATTTCTGCCCAACTCCGTAAAAGATAAGTCAAGTGATCTCAGTTTCGTCATTCTTGCGAATAAATCTGCTGACTCCAATACAACAGATGTTTGACCACCATTTTTGTCGTAAGCTTTGTTCATACTAAGATCCAAATGTATCAAGTTACCGAGACCAATAAATGCTTTGTCATGGATAAATTTTATATTATTTTCACCCAAATATAAGGCTTCTAAATTAGGCATTCCATTGAAAATTAAACCATTAATAATTTCTATTGAACACGCGCGTAGATCCAGCTCACGCAAAACTGAGAAATGCGTGTATTGAAATCCAGTAGACCATAGAGACTTTTCTGTGAAAATAAGAAAATGATTTATGTATTAAAATTTTTTCACATATGCTTACAATTATACACGCTATAGAAACGGGATATTTGTTATAATAATTTAATTTAAATTGTAACAGAATCAAAATATACTAAGCTATTAAATAATATTAAAAAATATCCCTTTTGTATAATGGGTACTACTTAATATAGCTTCTCTTAAGATATCTACTAACAAATTATTGTATACTTTTATAGATACTATATTATTATCTGGATCATTACTATATTACAAGTGTGGGCAGTTGTCTAGCGATTTAGCACACCGCTTTACATCTGATGACACTATGTTATTGTAACCGAATTGTTTATTTTTTTAAGAAATAAACATTTTTTCATTTTCTTTTTCATTTCATCATTAATTCTTGCACGTGTTGAATTCCCCACACGGTACAAACATTTGTATTTATGAGTATGATTGTTTGTTAGACCGATGTCAAAGTATTTTATATCTATGTTATTTATATATTTACAAAATATCTATGTATTGATATCAATCGTCAAGTACCCATAATACAAGCACTGCTTAGCTTGGAACTAGATGAAGATGAGTGAATTGTCCTGAGATATTGTTATTATTATCTGACCCAAGGGAATAGTTTAAAATTAAGTATAAATTACTTTTTAAAAAAATCTACACTTACCTCCAAATTTTGCGAACTCTATGTTAGTTTCTACTATATCTGTAGCATTAAGCATAATGTCATACTGTACTCCAGGGGAACTGATGTCCTTGAAATTATTCCCATAAAGAGTCAAATATTCCACTGTGTGACGCAATGGACTCCCATTTAAGTCCTGATGATCAAATATCTGAAATTTAATATGTACATTCTAACACTATAATTGTGAAGATGGATTTGCTTTAACGCTTTCAAATTGTCTTAAATTAGATTGTGGTAGTAATTCACTAGACCACGTTTTCAATGACAGTAAATTAGGAACAGAAGCATTAAACTGATTTACTTAGCCTTCAGCAATGTTAGGTCTGTATTCTAATTTTGAGGAAATAGAAATTCATATCCGATCATACATACACTTAGTTAAATATTGATCCAAATCAAAAGAAAGATGAAGTGTCAGAGAAGTGCGTAGAGAACGTGGTGTAGATGAATAATAAAAATGTAAAGTAACAACAAAATTATTTAAAAGCGCAACACGCAAGTTTCCTCCTCATTCTTCTTATGATGAGACAGCTTTCCAAATGAGCGGTAGATTGAAAAAAATGTGATGACTATTCAAAAGTGCTTCAATGTAAGATTATTTTAATAAATGATTTTCTATTCTATTCTAATAATATTTAAATTTGGAATAACAATTACAATAAATCATACCGGTGGCACCCTTTCAAGGTTGCATCTGGCCAGGCTGAGGTAGCGTATGTTGACGTTGGACCTTTGCATCGACTGGAGATTCTTCTGTAGCAGCAACACAACATTAGTGTTCGTGGACAGATCAATTGAACGGTCCAATTCTGCAACATACATACATACTTGTCCATAACACCCAATCATCATCATCTACTTTTCTTTTTCTATCTTATTCCATCATTTGAGGCGGCGTATTGTTATTCTCTTTTCACATTTTAATGTAACAATAAAAACGTATAATAAAGAATCAATAAGACAAATTTCAGGGACCGTGTTTACGATTTTTTTTTTCAAATTTACTAAAAAGGAATAAATCTATAAATCTATCTTCATCCCTTAGAGGTAGACAGGGAGAACCGAGTGGCATTGAACTGTCCTTACACAAATTCTTTATTTACATTCATAACTCACCTCATGCATGCACGCTGACCCTGATACTTCCATCTTCCACCTTACTCGTATAATCACAGAAGAAAGAAATAGGAAAGGAAAATATATTTTACTGTAGCTACATTTAACTGGACTTTATCTGCTTTTTGAGACAATTGACAGAGAATGTGTCCGTTCCTTTATGATATATTTTTAAATCATAAAGTATACTATTGAATCGAATTAATATCTCACTTCATTCTTTAATGCACAGTTAGATACAGAAGTTGATATGCACGGTGCATATTACATAAAAAAATTACCTCTGAAAAATCTTACGTTCAAATTTGTAAACAGATTTAAGAACGCCCTAACAGCAAAGTTTTATCACTTTTTTTGGCGAATTTTAGCCGTCGTATTCCATTTAAAATTATTCTTTAAAGGTATAACACTTGCAGATTCGTCCACTTTGTTACCAACACCTTCTATATACATTTACATCACTGCCTTGCCTTTATTCCATTATTTAGGGTCGGCACAGTATGTCATCTTCCACTGGTCCCTATCAGTCGTCATTTCTAGAGATATACATAAAAAGATTTATACCGTTATCATCCACTGTCAAAGCCCCATATTCGTCGACCCATGACTGTACGTCTGTCATGTAACCGGTGAGACATTTCGCTGGTTCCTTGGGTGATGCTATGGCCGTTACAATGCAGCAGAATACCCTGGAACAAGTGGACATGACAACATTACAATGAAACTCCACTTCAAGTATAGTCTTCTCTTCTCTTCTTAATCGTTCCCTCACTGCTAAGAATCGTGACTCTATACTATCTTGTCGACTAGCCGGCGCCATCTGCTGCGCTCAGATGCCTGATGTATTGCGGCGCTGACAGTAATGTTCAGTTGACGTGATATTTGATCTGACCATCGGATGGGACTTCGGCCTCGACGTCTTTTACCTTTTTTTTTTCGAGTATAGTAGAACTATGTAATATTATGTTATCTGTGGTAAAACTTAAATTATGTGACGCATTTTCTTTCATTTGAAACATATTATAATCGATAGGTTTTTAACTTTATATTAATTGGAAGTTACCATTTATTTACTAATTTTATTTACCATCTACCCTATGTAACAACCCTATACATCTATTGTAACAATAAATATTACCGCCTTATTGTAACGATACTGGTTGTCCTTTAATATATTATGTATGTATTTTTCTTTACTGTGTGTTACAAATAAAGTATATTATATCTACCTATCTATCTAATAATAAATGAAACGTGGTAAGACCCTGTGATTTTCTTAATTTTACGTATAAATTTACAAGTGTTTTTTTTAGTTATAAGTCCATTTGGAAGTTTCTAGTGTTTGTTTTTTGAGTCTAATTTCGATAGATGCTACTTATTTTCTAATGAATGAAACGTGTAAGATATTATAATGAAAATATAAGCGATCCGTTCCATTTTGTAATTTTTATTTGTTAGCCAATACTTGATGATTGATTTTTAACGATACTTGTGTAGTTACTATGTATGAAAATATATAATAAATACATGCAAATCAGCCGTTATAATTTATCTGAAATTATAAAGGTTTTTACGTAGCTTCATTGTCAGATACAATGAAAATGGATGCCTCATATAATACCAATTAAATACATACTAACATCACACGATCTTACACGTTTCATTAATCAGAAAATAAGTACCAACTGGCGGCCCTAGGATCATTTTTTTATACTACAATGGTGGCAATAATATGGCGCAACTGATGGTAAATGTTACATCAATAACGAGAGTTAATTAGGTAGTACAGTTATCCCAGATAATAAGATAAGATAAGTGATCTAACGAGATATTTAAATGACTACAATCTCGTCCTATAATCCAGGATTGTCAAACTTCAAACCTAACTTAATACACTAAACCTCATACATAACAAAATTCTGATAATATCTCGTACATCTATCGGTACATCGCTGCTGTAATTCTTCATTGACCCTAATGTTAGCACAAGATGATGCAATATTCCATCATCATCTACTTCTTTATCCCAATTATTTGAGGTCGGAGTAATATGTTGTTTCTTACATTCGTCCCTATTCGCAGTCATCTCATTATTTACTCCTTCTTACCATATCATCTACCATACCATATCTCACATAGTCCATCCATCTCTTTTTCGGGCTTCCTGCGCCCTTATAATCATCCATATTTATATGTAACACCTTCCTTAAAATCCTATGCATTACATGTTCATACCACGATAGACGATAATTTTAAAAATATATACACATAGAAATCTTGTAGACTAATAAAAACAAACGACACTCACGAAACTAAAATGCTTGCGTTGTGAAAAATGTTTTGATGCATTATAAACAAGACTATGGCATTTGTAAAAATCGATTGACTTATCTGTAATCGATTTTACGTCACTATAATCTGTTTATAATAAATAATTACGATTAAGTAAATGCCTATTCATGTCTATCTTTAAAAAAAACATTATTTTCTACGGAAAATGAAATAAAAGTGATTCTTTCGTAATATATTTTTTCGCCGTACTAACTTTCACTTATTCTTTTCTTTTGTGTTCTTTAATTCTTGTTTCGACCTCATATTTTATTATTTTCACAGTGTGTTTGTTCTTTTGTGGAACAATATGTAGATACTCATTTATGTATTGTTATCTTAAGCCCACTGCTGGACATCGGCTTAATTAGATAAAACAGTTGCTAACAATTAATTGTACATTAAAAACTTTTTAAATTCAATAGGTTTGCGATTTTTATGAACAATGTGTGAGCTGTAGTTATAATTTTATTTGTAGGTACGTGTTAGACTTGGTATATTTATTAATAATGACCATTTTCCCCGTTTTTGAAACATCTTTCATAGCAGTTCTGTTCCTACTGATCGTAGCATTGTTAGATGATAGGCACTAAAAGAATTTTCAAAATCGGTTCAGTAATCCAGAGGTCAGTTAGCTCTTGACCTCCTCGTTGTTTAACGTAAAATTATTCGTAAAGACCCGGTCAACAATACAAAAAATGTAGTAGTACCGAAGATTAGTACGAACATAAACTTTACCTTTTTAATAGTATATATAACATATATATATATATATATATACATATATGTTATGTAGAATGTATCTTTTAAACGTAATCGCAAAACTTGGATTTTAAGTTTTCTAATGAGAATTATATATGACACGTTGCATTATTATGTTCTGTGCTCTTTAGTATTGTACCGTTTCTTGTATAATCAACATGTTTACCATTATATATCGTTTATGAATTCATATATCTGCATTATTAAGTTCAGTGCTCCTTATTATTGTACCGTTTCTTGTATAATCAACATGTTTACCATAATATATCGTTTATGAAACAACCGGTAAATAAGTTTAAAATCAGGCTTACCTACCTACGTATAAATCTATTATTTCCGGTTTTACCGGTCTTACTCACTCATATCTCATTATTTTATCTAACAAATAATAATATCGTATTTCTAGTGGATTCTAAAAATCCGTAGTCAATTGCAAATATATTATTTACTTTATATACTAAGGTAAAGTTATTACCATGCAGCAACCATAGATGTCACCACATTTCTATATTGTTTTTTATTATTCACGTATTTTTTTTATTATTAAGGTAATTATGAAAAAATTAAACGGAGTATTTAGAAATTATTATTTGAAATCTAAATTTTGGAATTACTTTTTACACAATCTGGTTTTTTGTGTTCGAACTTCTCCGTAATTATAACTATTTTACCATTTTTTTCCAATGATATTCCATATCATATTTAGTGGTATTTGTACAATATATTCTAAAGCTGTTGGCAGTAATTGATTAATTGGTTCCATTAAACAAAAACAAAAAATGTGATCAGAAAGTGTATTAAGTGTAGGTACACGAAGAGACTGCGAGTTAGTTACTCACAGTATCTTGCTGAGATGAATATAGAGTTTCAATAGTGATAATAAACGAAGACGTGTGAAGGTAGACGAATATGTCTGCCCATAAAAGATTGTATTTACAATCTACCAGCTGCTCTTCAGTTTTCCCGTGATCATGGCGGTTGAAACACTGACGAAATATCGGGAACTCAATCAAAATAAAACATGGTAAGATCCCGTGATTTCTACCAAATTAAACGTTATTTAGTGTATAATTTATAGAAATCACTACCAAATTATCTGGTGTTTCGGACGTCCTTAGCTATGGTAACCGTTTACCATCAGATGGGCCGTATGGTTGTTTGCCACCTACGTTACCTGTTATAAAAAAAAATATCATTCCGAACCCGCGGAAGGACTAAAGAAGCAGCTGAATATCAACTTGTACCTAATGTATTCAATTCAATTTATTTACTTAAACAACTGTATATAAAAGTCATAAATATTATGATTATTCCAAACCTGCCCTGACAGTTCAGGCCTGTAAATTACAATGTATACACATACATATGTATAATATTTTATATGTTAAACCGTTTTACTTCCTACGGTCGCGGGTTCGATTCCTCACACGGTCCAAACATTTGTATTCATAAGTATCATTATTTTTATCGGTCTGGATGCGTTCTATGTATATTAAATAATAATAATAATAATCTCAGGACAATTCACACAGCGCCATCTAGACCCAAGTTAAGCTAGCTAAAGCTTGTGTTATGGGTACTAGACAACTGATAATAATACATAGATTTTTTTTTCGTAAATACATTATACATATAAAATACCCAGACTGATACAAACAATCATACTCATGAATACAAACATTTGTGCCGTGCGAGGAATCGAACCCGCGACCATCGGACGTAAAGTGGTGTCCTAGACCGCTAGATCACCGAGGTCGTCAGATTACATATACGCATTTATTTACAAAAAAATATAAGTACATATATATATCAGTTATCTAGTACCCATAACATAATCTCTGCATATATGTGAATTATCCCATAATACGTTCGAACTAATTAATAACATTATAGAAGGAAAAATAGATGGAAAGAGAGGAAGGGGAAGACCAAGACACAGCTATATCAAGCAAGTTAAAGAAAAAGTTGGAGTCGTGTCGTATCAACAGCTAAAAGGACTGATAGAAGATCGTGGAAGGTGGCGGGAGCTCCACCGACAAGAGCACAGCTCTTAAATTATGAATGAATGAACGTATACGACCTCGACTCAGGACGTAGTAATTTCGATTTCCATTTGAATGGTCATGGAATCGTCAGGAATCCCGAGTTAGCGATAGTTAGTAATTTGTATTCACACATTTCAGCTTAAAAATTTAAAGTTACAACAATTATTTTAAAAAACAACACGCAAAGCACGTATCTAGCTCATTGTTGTGATGCCTCATCACCAGAAGATCGAGCTAACGAGCTTACCGAATGAGCGTAGATTAAAAAAAGATTCAAAAGTGCTTAAATTTATTTAAATAAATAATCTTCTATTCTATTCTGTTAGAAGCCCATACACATACATACATACCTATAGTTATTTGTATTTAAGTAGATCTCTTGTGTGGTGAATGGGATACAACACAATATAAATATAATTAATTTTACTAGTGCATATATTGTTTGTATTTCATACTATATATATACTTAATAATAGGAGCCAATATTGGTATATATAACAATATTTAATATAATCCTTACTTAATATATTAAATGCGAAAGTAACTCTGTCTGTCTCACTTTCACGCCAAAACTACTGAACCGATTTAAATGAAATTTGGTAGACATATAGTCTAGAATCTGAGAAAGGACATAGGCTACTTTTTAATCCGAAAAAAAGGTTGTAAGGGGGGATGAAAGGTTATATGGAAATATCGACAATTTACGCGGACGAAGTCGCGGGCACATCTAGTATAATATAAATAACAATAATTGACTAGCGGTCTAGCACACCGCCTTATGTTCAATGGTCGCTGGTTCGATTCCTCGCACGGCACAAACATTTGTATTCATGAGTATGATTGTTTGTACCGGTCTGGGTGTTTTCTATGTATAATATGTAGGTATTTACGAAAAAAATATCTATGTATTTGTATCAGTTATCTAGTACACATAACACAAGCTTTAGCTAGCTTAACTTGGGTCTAGATGGCGCTGTTTGAATTGTCCTGAGATTATTATTATTATTAATAATAAGTTGCCTAGATATAAATAAATAAATGTCTAATGCTAATCGGATTTTCGACGTACATTATTTAAGAATGATGTAGAGTATACACTATGTCAATATATACAGAAATAACTATGTTCTGGACTTATTATTATTTTATTATTAACCTATAGATATGAACCTATAATAGAAATTATATTAATAATATAATACTTACAATATTTCTACAATCATGGCGTTACAGAACGTAAATTATATATAAAATCCGTCATCATAATATTTCTGTATGTTCATCCACAACTATCATAGGAGGCACAATTCACATACACTTATTTGTGACACACAAACTGAAATAGCAACCATGTATATATTATTTTTATATATTTTAAATGCATTTACTAGCGTTTAAACATACTGCCCTCACATCATCGTATGTCCATATTATCAATTTACTATCTTATCCGTAATATTCAGATACGAGGCTATTTTGCGTATCAATGTGTATGTATATATGAGTATGTGAAAGATACGAAACTGATTTTATCTTATTTTTTAGCGCCCGTCTGGTGTAATGAAAAAAGTACTGCCTACGTATTGAAAAAAAAAATATATGGTTTTTATTAGCTCCTAATTAGAATTAGTATAAAAACAAATTATATATTAACTAGCTGAACCCGCAAACATTAGAGTTATATGTATTTTTAATGCCACTTTTAGAGTTGTATGTATTTTTAATGCCACTTTATAAAAAAATCTAAATAAAACTTTATACAGAAATAAAAACAAAATGTTATAGTTTTGTGCGCCCCTAGCACAAAACTAATCACTTAGGGGTAGTCATATAAATTGGTCAAGCCGTTTCGGAGGAGTATGGTGACACATGAATTTTATATGTATATTTATTTAAACTTAACCATTTTCAATTGATTTAATTATCAAAAAAATAAGTATAAACTTAAATTGCAGTGATAATTCTTGTTTTATATTGTACTATCGACCAGTCCCGGCTTCACACGGATGCATTACAATTCTTTAAATTTCTCGGCATATTTTATACTATAATACGCATATATTATACATATAAACCTTTCTCTTGAATCACTCTATCTATTGCTGAAAACTGCACTAAAATCTGTTGCGTAATTTAAAAGGTATAAGCGAAGAGACAGCGGCAGCGACTTTGTTTTATACTATGTAAAGACTGTAAAAAGTCTTTCAGCCGTCAAACAGCTTGCTTTGTAAGCTGTTTCCATTGTAGAATTAAATTATAGGATAAGAGGCATGACATCATAGTCCTCTGGAATGACAACGCGTAATTGGTATCACTGTGATGTCCGTACTGCTAGTTCATGTATCGATAACCGTTGATTTGCCATTCCAACTTTAACCTACCATCATATGAGATATCAAATTATAATTTGCCATTCAAATTTAAAAAAAAAGGTTTCACATTATGGTGACCACAAATTACTCAAGCTGTCCAACTACGTCACAGTTATTAATCTCTATAATTGATTATAATTATTATTAATTTATACATTGAAGCATTATGTATCAACGTACTAGAAGGAAAATCAATTGCGGTGCTCTCACAGCAATTAGGTCAAGCACTCGAAGACGCTTTCTGTATTGTCGTAAGTTTTGGTGACATAAACACAGTTATAATAGATTGGAGATATTACAAAAAGATTGGAGCAATAAAAAATCTATCACGTATATAAAGTAATCATTTGCATCGATGATCTAGTGGTTTAGCACATAGCCTTATTTGCAATCGTCGCGGGTTCCATGCCTCTACGCTGCAAACATTTAAATTCGTGATTGTTTGTATCGGTCTGAATGTTTTCTATATATTATATATTATGTATGTACTCACGAAAACAAAAATATATCTATGTATTATTTGTATATCAGTTATCTAGTACGTATAACATAAACTCTGCTTAGCTCACGACTGGGCTGCGCTGTGTGTAATATTTTAAATATTATTATATTAATTATCAACGAGTATAATTAATCATTTCGAGCGGACAGCTCCTTGGGATATAGCTATTTAAATCAGTGTCTAAATTTGTGGTTTTGTTCTAGCGTATGTCACGTGAGGTGTACCTATGTATTGTGTACTCTATGAACCTAAACTCGCTAATACCTCAATGGAAATATTTATTCATTTATAATTAATCTTTAAGTAACAACGATTGCTTATGTTAATCTATAGATTAAAGTATTAATCACTAGATAAATATGCAGTCAAAATTAATAATACATTGACATTGATAGGTAACAAACAAGTATATTAAGAGCATCGTAGCCTAGTGGTTATTAGACCCAAGCAGTCGTGGGTTCAAAACTGGGCGACACTAAAAATAAACTTTGTGTATTAATGTATAGTTCTGGCTAACTCTAACTTGAAAGAAAGACCAATATCAAGACAAAAATTAATCCGAGAATCTGCCACGTTGGATTCTAATGTACTATAATATCTCGCCTTGCTATGTTGAATATAATGTTTGGTATATTTGGATTCAACATAGCGAAATGTGGACATGTCAAGTCTTGCGTTCACCGCGACTGTTATCCTATATTAGGTAGTCAATTGTCTTGCATCATGGTGAATTCGCTATATTGAATTCAGATAAATATACCCATTATTTGAATTCAATACAACAAGAAGAGACTGGTTAGCCCAGCCCACCTCTATTTTTTTGAGTGTTTTCTTTATATATTATATATATATTTACAATAATTATATGTTTAAGTATATTTGCTTCGCATGGGACTAGATGGCGCTGTTCATATTAATTTTATTTAGATTATTCGCAGTGTTTTCAAAAGTCAGTCAGAAATACTGACTTTTGGAAACAGCGGCATATTTACTTACTTAAACATATGTTATATGTTTACATGAATCTACGTCCTTTGAAGTCTAAAACATCGTGTTAACCAGGCGACGATGCTCTCAATCAATCAACAGATATAAAGTTATATAGATAAAGTGACTTAGTCACTCTGTATCTAGTAGAGGATGTCACGCACGCTCCCAGATAACAGTAACATCCATTTATACATACCACAATATATATCTATGTATATAATATATGTATTTACAAAAAAGAAAAGTGACACCTCAACATATAGTTTAATTCGTTCCGTAACCTTGCTCGTATGTCAAATTGCTCGCATTTCAAAGCAATTCACGAGCAAAGAATAAAAAAAAACTAGCGGTGAAGTGATGTTGACTTATGATAGCAAAGGGTAAACCTACACGCGGGTCACAAGTCTTGGGAACTGCTCGGAGTTTCACTCTCTGCCACACACACGGTGAATCCACGGAATGCTAAAAATAATCATCTCTGTAAACAAAGCAAGGTGATTGTCTCAAATCGTTTTAAGGCACATGCAATTATATTATTTCTTTTTGCCACGCACAACCACATTGTGGAATCACCTTCCAGCAGTGGTATTTCTGAACCGATACGATATTGAAACCTTCAAGAAAAGAGCTTATTCCTTTTTAAAAGGCCGACTACGTACTTGCAATTCCCCTGGTGTTGCGGGTGCTCATGGGCGGCAGTAATCACTTACCATCAGGTGAGCCGCATGCTCGTTTGTCCCCTGTATTATAAAAAAAAATTATGAAACTTATTAAGCACTAGCTACCCACCCCGGGCAAGTTATACATGTACACGCACGGGTGTATTATATATAAACATTTCTCTATAATCACTCTATCTATTTAAAAAAAACCGCTTCAAAATTCGTTGCGTAGTTTTAAAGATTTACACATACATAGGGACAGACACCGACAGCGACCTTGTTTTATACAATGTAATGATAATAAAGTACTCTGTTTCTATAACAGTGCAATTACCCAAGAGTCTGCAGCCGATGAATTACCAGGTACAATACCGGGCGCCCTCACCCCCGCCGGTGGGGGTGACCCGGACGCCAGAGGAGATCGAGATGGAAATGAAGAAGGTGGAAGCTGAATATGAGAAATTAGCGCTAGTGTCTATTGAGTAAGTATGTAATTTTTTTATGCGTGCCGTTTTTATACTACAATGCTAACAAACAATACGGCTCGTCTGATTCTAAACGGTTACCGTAGCCTATGCATAGTGTTCACTTATTTGTTATTTATGTCTTCTTGTATGTAAGTTGTTATCGACGTAATATCTGTTCGTTAGCCATAGCTCCACGTCTTTACTCCGCGGCGCTTGCGCAGGGAATCCCTTCCCTCTTGCGCACGGCGGTCCGTGTACGCTCGGCTCGAGACGATAGATAATAAACTGCTAGTGTTTCCACATACACTACACTATGGAACACCAGGGGTGTTACGTGCGCGTTGCCGACCCTTAAGAAACCTTAATATACCCTTCTTGAAAAACCCCATACTGTAGTCTCTCGAGAAAAAAAACTTCGGCAGGTAGTTGAGTGTACACGGGAAGAAGCTCCTCTTAGACCGCACAGTCTGAGAGTCCAGCCGTACCCACGTACAAAAGATCTATATATATAATATAATAATAATAATAATAATCTCAGGACAATTCACACAGCGCCATCTAGACCCAAGTTAAGCTAGCTAAAGCTTGTGTTATGGGTACTAGACAACTGATACAAATACATAGATATTTTTTTTTTTTTTTTTTTTTCGTAAATGCATACATATTATACATAGAAAACACCCAGACCGATACAAACAATCATACTCATGAATACAAATGTTTGTGCCGTGCGAGGAATCGAACCCGCGACCATCGGACGTAAAGCGGTGTGCTATACCGCTAGACCACCGAGGTCGTCATATATATTAAGACTTTCTTTTAATGACTTACACCTAAAAATATTTATATTATGAAATCTTTAATTATTGTTTGTAGTCTGCCACAGGAACTAATATGGTCGGAGCCACCGGTGGTATGTCAGTGGCAGGAGGCGAGGAAACTCTGGACAAGCAACTATGTGAACGATTACAAGTTCAACGAGGATAAACTCACGGTGCAGTTCAGAACTGGAGTGTTGTGTAAGTGGCTACAGTACTATTGTAAACTGTAAAACATTTGTATCTTGTCACAATAATAATTTATTGGCGGTACTAGCTATGCCCGCGACTTCGTCTGCGTGGAATAGTAACCTTGACCAAATAAAGAAAATATTTAGTTACATTATAACCCAAATACGTTTCATGGTTCCACTATAAAAATTATGATACATTCATCTTGTCACAATTATAATTTATTATATAGGAAAATGTTAGGAATTGACGATAATATCACGGTGAGAAGTGTGACTATACAATAAAATAATAATAATCAACATCATAAAGTAATCTTCACCATTTCATTGTCTTTATCTTATTTTCAACTTCCGAGAAGAGATTCTCAATTCGCCTGACTATTTTGTGTATCTTATGCAATAAATACTTCATTTCATTTTTGTTGATTCTATTTACAATCATCTTGGTTGTATTTTTTTGGTTGTAAAATTCAAAATATCTTTATTCATGTAGGTCTATTACAGACTCTTATGATATGTCAAATCTACCGTCAGTTCGGAATGATTTCGAGATGAGAAGAACTGACCAGAAACTCAGCTCGTATCCTTTTTAAATAAATGGTATAAATGTTATCTTGATTTTATACTTTTGTCCCGAAGTTTGGAAAAAACTGTATGTACATATATACTTTCATTGCAGGGCCGATAGGTATTGCTACACTGAGATACAGCAACATGCCGTACCAGGGATGGGATGTAAAACCAGATCCTGACAGGTATGTTTGATTGTTAAAAACACTTTTTTTCTATAATTATTAAGTATTTACCAAAAACTAGCTGACCCTGCAAACGTTGTTTCGCCATATATTAAAATTGCTATTAAAAAATAGGGTTGATGCTAAAAGGGCGAATTTAGAGTTGTATGTATTTTAATGGCACATTATAAAAAAACTAAAAATAAAAAAATCGTCCAGAAACTAAAAAATAAACGTTAGGTGAACAACCCTTAACATTTAGGGGTATGAAAAATAGATAAAAGCCGATTCACAGACCTACTGAATATGCATATAAAATTTCAAAAAAATCGGTCGATCACATTTCGGAAGAGTATGTTAACTAAAATTGTGACACGAGAATTTTATAAGATGTAACTAAGTATTTATATCAGTTATCTACTACTCACAAGCTCTGCTTACCTTGGAATTAGATGGGTTGTGTGAATTGTCCAGGGGTAAAAAAATATAATATAAATAATTGAATGCTTGTTTACAGTAAGGGTGTCATAATATCAGTGACGGGGGTGAGTGTGACGGTCACGTGGCTCTGTTTGGGCAACTCGGTGCGCCTCAAGTGGATCGCAAACGCGACAACGCCGGCGCTGAAGGAGCACTTCAACAAGCCGTACAGCGTCAAAAGGATGCTCCAAGTACGACTATTAATATTTTCGAATAACTCTCTGTTATATGTGATAGACTATGGTAGACCAGCTCCGCAATTTTGCACGCTGTATCGCCGTAGGATGGTCGCAGATTGGATTCTTTAGTAACGCATTTTTTATTATTATTCTGAAGTATGACTTGTTGTATTGATTATATTAAATACTAGGTGTTACTCGTGACTTTATCTGCAAAATAAATAAAAAAATATTTATTCACATAGGACCTTTCGTCCTCTTATGCACGTATTTTTTTTTTCACTATTCCTACCGTCTGAGAAGAACTGGCAATAAACTTAATTATTACTTAATTAAACTTAATTTTATATCATTTTAACGGTTTTTAAATTTTTTTACAATTGACATTTCAGTTATATTAAAAAAACTACCGACCCGTCCTGGCTTCGTACGAATGCATTACAAATCTTTGAATTTCTCGGTTTGTTCTATACTTATAACACACACATAAACCTTCCTATTGAATCACTCTATCCATTGCTAAAAACTGCATTACAATCCGTTGCATAATTCAAAAGATATAAGCGTACAGACATCGGCGGCGACTTTGTTTTATACTTATATATATATATATACTAGCTGTCCCGGCAAACTATGTTTTGCCATATAAATTAATAACGCTATAAAAAAATAGGGGTTGATGATAGAGGGGTGAAAATTTTGGATTGTATGTATTTTTGTATGTTGTATCATAAAAAAATAGATACTAAAAATTTTGACTAAAAATAAAAAATAAAAATTTAGGGGTGGACTACCCCTAACATTTAGGGGGATGAAAAATAGATGTTGGCTGATTCTCAGACTTACTCAATACGCTCACAAAATTTCATGAGAATCGGTCAAGCCGTTTCGGAGGAGTATGGGAACGAAAACTGTCACACGAGAATTTTATATATAAGATATAAAGAAGTATTTTCTTATGTGTGTTCAGATAATGCGGGAGGCAGCATGCGACTTCTTTCCAGACTTCGACGCTCACAACCACATAGAAGGCTCCTGCCCCAAGGAGTGGGTGTTAGAACGGCATAACTACCACGCTATGGCATTCCTTTCCAGGGCATACAACTTTCAATGGAGCAGGTAATTATATTTAGTTTTACAGATCCATTTTTAAGTTTTATTTTTTTTCGAAATAAGCTAATGCTCTTGGCCACAGCTAGCCTTTACAGGTTCACCAAATGATGTAGGGTCGAGTGCTGTAAAGTGTGTGGCTGAAGGTCAACTCCTGCCTGACGAATACGTCTATAGTCTGACAGTCTAGAGGTTCGAAACATCGTAATTAGGCGGAAGATAATTATTAGTTTGAAGATTAGGACCTCATTTCTAGTATATCCACCATATCAAGTCGACCTCCATGCAATTCTCCCTGCAAACTATCGTAACTAGAAGTTTAATCAAGATATGCTCTGCTATGTTTTATCACGACCTGACCTCATACTCATCTTGTCATTCTCCACTCGTACTCCGCCAGCGTATAACGTAAGCGCAAGCGGATGTACCTTTCCAATACCAGCCATTAAAAAAAATCATGGTATTTTTGATCCCCATTTGAATGAGACTGGGGATCCATCGAAGTGGGTTATCGTAATGAACATGGCGATGTATTATTTTCTATTTTAGAACTTGCTTTATACATTCTTTACGAGTATAAAAGTTGGTAAAAAAAGATCTGAAATAGTAAAAATCTATTTAAAATATTTATATAAGTACATATGAATACTATGAGTATAAGTATATATGAAATATATATAAGTATATATAAATACTTCAAAACTCGTGACTTTGGTCCTGATTCTGCCAACCACCAAAGAAATTGTGTATTTCTTTTGATTTCTGACTGAATGATGGAAACACCAATAACAAACATATTTAACTGAGTAGTAAGTTTCAGCAGTTACGTTTATCACTACGTTGACAGTCGACAACGCCTCTGACCACCCTATCACAAATTGTTACCTTGTGAATATATTATTATTTTTAATATATCAATACAAAAATTATAAAACAGGAATTTAATTATCAATGTTAATGACTAGTGTAGTTAGTGTGAACCTATATAAATATTTACAGATGGAATGCTGCTGCTGGTAATCGTACTGTTGTTATGCAAATACGAGAGGCAGTGGACAAGAAAAGAGAGGTATCTTACTAATATTATAAACGCAAAAGTTTGTGAGTATGGATGAATAGATGGATGGATGTTTGTTATTCTTTCACGCCAAAACTACTCTATAGATAATAATACGTCACTTATATAGCTTATACAACAGAATAACACATAGGCTACAAATTTCTCGCCGGCGCAACCTCGGATACTTTATAATAAAATAACATATACTGAAACATAGATAACATATACTGAATTGTACGCATATCTTTGGAAATAACGAAAGCAAAACGGACCATAAGACCAAGAACAATAAGAACTTAAAGAGAAAATGGAATTTGATAGAATGTTTAAGGCTGGGAATGTAATGTGTTGCCACTGTATGCTGTAATTTTACTGCCATAAAATAGAAACTTAGCTGCCTTATTATTCTATGAACTTTGTAACGTATACTTCATATAGGTATAAATAAAAAAAATTAAATAATTTCAAAAGAAGCTACAAAGCGACTGAAATAGGCGAGACAGAGGTGCCCACAGACACAGTTGTACAATGTGTGTCCGATGAAAATAACTCGAAATAGTGTGTTGGAGAGTGCATTCGGTATAAATATCAGTTTTATCGCTTAACAATATCTTACATACGTTATGAATTCTATTGAGATGTACCTAACTATAGATTAAGATAGGTTATCTGTTACCATTGCTACAGTAATATCAAAAATAGAATGGATTAAGATTCATTTATATACCTATATGTATGTTTGCTGTCACACATTGTTTTCTCCAATTCAGGAATAATAAAAATACTAATTATACGTAGAAATAATGACTTAGTGAAAAAAACACCTTTTTACACAATAAATGTCTCGTTTTGAGTCTAAGAATAAATGATCAAGGTATGTTCTTAGCACTGTTCACATTGTTGCATTTCAGAATGTACTAATATTAACGATTTTATTGTTATACTTATATTCTTTGTGATATCGCTTTCACGCCAAATTTTCTGCACTGATTTAAATGAAATTTGGTATACAGATAGTCTAGAAGGGTTCGAAAGGGGAGATGAAACGTGCATGATAGAACTCAAATAGCACCTACTAGTTTCAGACTTATGTCACAGAGTTATGTATTACGGTGATGTTTAATTAATACTAATTTTAATTATTTCTTTTATTCGGTGGGTTTGGGCTATTGTCAGGTGCTAAGAACAGTAACACTGCGACCTGTATAGATCTATTATTCTCGTCCTTATTCAAAGTTTGCTACCTAAACCCGTGAGGGACAACACTGTACTTTTATAAGTGTAGGTACATTTCTCAGTATGTATGTAAGTAAGTACAATAAAATATCTACTGCATGCAGGTGATGGCTTTATTTTATTACAGACACTAATAACATGGATTAAGAATGATATTTAATGTACGATAAAAAATTTAATAACTAAATAACTACTACACCTCGTTTACACGGAAATAAACATTATTGTCATATTGTTACAGTCCAAATTCGAACTTCTGTATGTGACGCCGCAGCGGGCCACCATTCTCAAATGTAATGAGATGTCTCAGGAGTATAGTGCGGAACCTATGATGGGGTTACCGGTAATTTTTTTAATACAAATCTTCCTTTATTTATAAACCTGGACTCACATTAAGTACACGTAAGTCCGAACAGCGACTAATAGGACTGGATTTCAAACGAACTTGCTGTTCCGAAGTGTCGTTAAGAAAAGTTAATGCGTCTAATAGGAATGGGTATAAAAATTTACAATACGGTACCAAAGGATGTACTGGAATTACCTTAATTTAATACATCTGTCAAATCATATTTATTGAGAAAAGCCTTACTGCCTAACTCACAAAATAATTACTTAGATGACAAACGTAGGTACATGGCTATAGGTACCTCTTCTCTTCTACTTGTTTTGCCCAAAATGGTCCATAATTGATCTGCTTTGAACATAACCAGCTAATAACTACCTACTGTAGATTATTTATTGATTTAGTTTAGGCTACTAATTGCCTATATTATGAATACCTTACAGACTACCATATATATGAATTATTATATATTAAAATTAATAGAAAAAATAAAGATAAATTGGCCATGTGGTCACGGCACTGATAACGGCAATCTGCCACGGTAGCGCCGATACACCACACCCTTCGGCCAGTAGTCCTCCTTCATGAAGGTGGGCAGCATGTTGGCGGGAAATCGGGCCACAAACGCCTTGAAACTCGCGTTGTGACTCGATGCCAGCTGCGTCGCCCTCAATGTCAGGTTACTTTTGGCCTGTATGTAGTCGACAATGTCCTGCTCTTTAGTAGCGCAATGGCTACCACGACCACCTACCTGACATGACAACATTACACTTATGGAATGCAATGCTTAAACATATAGCTCTGTACTAACTATAAACCTTTCTTCCAGTTCTACCCAGACCTGTTCACCCTGAACATGTCGTACGGGTCGGTAGACGCGCGCCGCGCCACCTTTAACATGAAGTATCGACTTGTCGAGACGGTTTTTGACATGTTGCAAGAACTCAAATTGTCAAGTTACTCGTAGACTAAACGTGTCACAAAATTGTAAAACAGCTGTCTGATTAACATCCGATGGTCGCGGGTTCGATTCTCGCATGATGCAATCATTTGTATTCATAAATATAAATGGCAATTGCTCTGGATGTTTTTTATGTATGTTAAGAAAACGTATTTAAATAATTCTGTCAGTTATCTAGTACCCATAACACAAGCTCTGTTTAGCTGAACACTAGCTAGCGCTGTGTGAATTGTCCAGAGTTATTATTATTATGTTGCCATTACTGCCTTCCCTTTATTCCTGTATTTAGGTCATTATAATTTCTTTAATATGTGTTTGTGTATGCTAATATTATAAAGAGCCTAACCGATTTAATACGGTTTGTACTGCCATTTTATTTTTTGTTATTTTTAAAAATATCATGTAGTTGTTACATAACGTATCAATCAAACACTCTTGAAACACGTAATAAATTCTGGTCCCATAACCTTTCGTAGCCGACTCAAAAAATTTTCCACAGGTATCATACAAAAATCAAACAAATCTTACTATAAACAAATTCTATTTTTATTGATTAATAAAAAACTAAAAACTACTAATAGTATAAAAAAAGTAAACTGTCACTCCTTTGTCTATGAAACTGAAATAAAAATGTTAATTTACAAAATAAAATATTACTCATTAACAAATATATAATTGCGATACAATGATTTGTGTGAGCTGGTGATTTATGTATATACATTTTAGGAGTTTTTTTCTACCACGACCGATACTGACATTGTCTGAATTGTCTATAAAAACATATATTTTAAAAAGAGGCAGGTAATAAAGAAGTTGTAATTTAATAAAAATAATATAATACATACATACAATATTTATTAATCTATTAACATTAAATTGTATTTTTTTATTAAAACTTATATAAATGGTAGTTTTGGGGATAATTTTATAACCAAGTTTTAAACTACCATTTAATAGAATGATAAACGAATATTTAAAATGGTTTGTTTTGTTTTCTTTGACAATACAAACAGTGCCAGTTTTAAAATATCAAACGCTTTTAATTTAAAAGCAAATTTACTTACACAGCAGAGCTTTACATTATAAACATAATAAAATATTTGTCTATAAAAACACGTTTGTATAACGATAGCAACACGCATGCCATGTGACCGTCACATGTGCATGTTACTCGCAACTCGGAGGTTATCCGTAAATTACGTCACTTTCGTCCTCGCTGATCACATTTATGACACTCCCCTTCCCAACTGTAACACTTGGGGGTCGGAGTCTCATGTGTGACAAATGTCACATGTTTTGCAAAACTTACTTATTACTTCTTATCCATTAATTATACAAATAGAGACGGTAATATTTATAAGTCATTAATTGTAAAATTTCGCTATTTAATGCTAAACTATACATTTTAAAATATGTCACAACGGTTACTCCCCTTCTCCCACGCTTTGTCACACAATGTCACACTTCAAACCCCTCCCCTCCCTCTGTGACGTAATTTATGGATGGTCCGTTATTGTAGCAAGCGGCAATTTAATTCCATTTGCCTGCAACATACAAATTTCTAAGCTATTGCTAGATAATGTCCTATGTATTGTCACTTAAATTAATTAAATAACATTTTAAGCAACACCTCGCACCTCTGCTCAAATAATGTCACTAGTCAAAAGTATTTAAAAAGAATTCTGTTCTGAATATTCGATTCACAACAATATCTATGGAGGTCGCAGTGCTACAGGTCTTAACAACTAACAATAGCCCAAAATCCAATCGAATCGAGCCTCTCATTCTAATGGGATCAATATTTCGACGGCCTGACCCACAGTTCGAAGCCCTAGCGGTGCTCTTAGACTAAACTCGTATTTTTAGCTACTCCTTTAGTCCTTCCGCGGTTTTGGAGTACTATTTTCATCGGATGAAGCTATAAAAGTCGTTTTACCAAGTATTAGATGAAATCAAAGTGTGTAAAATTAAGATAGAATAAATATGAAACGCTTATTTCTCGCTAATTATCTTCTTTTCGCTTGTGACACCATTTGAAGAGAGCTACGATTGTTATGTGTAAATACTTTAATATATTTCTAAGTTACAAACATTTGTACGTAGTTAAATAGGTAAGTTTATTGCAATTTCCACAAAGCGCATGCAACTTGTATGCAAGCAGAGTTTGCGGGCTTGTTCATTAACTTACATAAACATATAACTTGTAAGTTAATTGTTATTATACAAGCTGCTGCCTATATATAAGTTGCACAGGCTCCTACCACATTACACTGTGTGGAACATATCACGATGCATTCACTTAGATTAATATTGTAAATCTGCGGCAGTGTGTTTCAATGTGAACATGCCCTAATGTCTTGCCAATGTTTAATATAAACTTCTTAAAAATCTCTGGTGCCTAAATTATATAGCGAACATTTAATTTTAATAGTTTCAATATACGAATGTTATTTAACCATAACGAAATAAATAAAAATAAATAACAGTGTACTATTCAACAGCGCCATCTAGTCCCAAACTATAGGTATCAGACAACTGTTAGAAAAATACATAATTTACATAGAAAAACACCCAGACCAATACAAACAGATACTCATTAATACAAATTATTTTATTGTGCGGGAATCGAACCCGCGAACATTAGAAAGGCAGTGTACTAAACCGCTAGACCACCGCGGTCATAATCATAATTGAGACAATTGTTTAATTAATCTAAATGACAGGATTAAAAAAAAACAATTGCAGGCAAAGAGGAATTAAGTATACAGCTTGCTAAAAAAAAATAACCCGGCTATTAAAAAATATATATCTGCCGTAAGCTATAGCATGAATTACGATAGCTGTATGATGCGAAGAGTTGGCAAATTTATAAAGCCACAGATAACAAAATACTAGAGTAGAGTATAAAAAAACAACTTTGAACTATTTAGCAACATAAAACTCCGCTATAAAGTTAGTATATGCAAATATACTTTCAATCTAAGTGGACAAAGAAAAAACATATTATCATTTAAAATAATATGAGACCCATATTAAAATCCTTTAATGTATGGCAGCACATAGTGTTTTTTTTTTTAATTGTGCACCTAATCATACACCCAAAATGCCTAAGGTCTGCGAATAAATTCAGATTCGATATAACTTAAAATATTTAACATATGTTTTGTAGCTGAGGACTGGTTTTTCCGCGTTTATCACAAGCGAGATCGCAGTGCATAGACGTGCACCATTTTTTTTTTTAATTTTAAATAAAGCCGATCACAGTTAATATCTTAAAAAGAAACATAATAATCGAAAAAACCAATCCTCATACGTGCAAGCAGATTTTACTTGCCACCAAATAATGTGTATCCAAGAATTTTTATGGATTGAAACATATATCTCCATATTTGTTTTAAATTCAATGGATTTTTTTTCTAATATAGTAACGACCGCCTCTGATAAATAATTAAAAAGCATTTTATATTAAATTACTCAACTAACTAAATGAATAAAACATTTTTTTTATCTGTTCTTATTATTTACAATAAATGAATGATTTATTAATAATGTTTTAATTGTCAGTATTGCCATATACGTATATTTACGTATGTATATGGTAACACTGACCTATGCCCTATACGTATGTTTTACAACCACAATAGGAAGTATAGGTACTGTTATTTGGTTCGCCAGATGGAAACTGACAGTCAAATATACAGGTACAAGTCGTGAAATATATAGAAAGCAGAAAACTAGGGATATTAACCATGAAACAGAACAGCCGTTCGGTTCTCTCGGAGCAAAGAAGAAAAAAGGTAAAGGTAAATGATTATTTACCTTTACCATTTTTCTTCTTTGCTGAAAGAGTGATTTCTATGAAAGGTTGAAGAATCCAACCTTTCATAGAAATCACTCTTTCTTCTTGATCGATTTAAATATATATTTATATTTAAATTATAAAATATATATTTTCAGATTTCCTTTATTCAATTCATTTTAATTCAATTCAGATTCTCTTAATAAAATTGTTTCCGTTAAATGAATTCTATCCCTCGCTTTCGCTTTACCTTTTACAACATCGAATTTTTTTTTATAATAACATGTTTTGTCCTTTTTTATACAATTGCAAACAAACAATAGCTGATTACATTTGTTCGTTATTTCTAAAATTTGTCAAAAGCAAACATTTATTTTATAATAATTATTATAAAAATATCAACTCGGATTAAACTACCATTGCATCAGACTATATTGCCCTCGTTCAATGTAAAAACTATACTGGCTTGCAAATATACTTCATTTTTTTATACTAATTATATGAGCATGTTTTTCTATCTCAAGGCAATTCGCACAACGCCATCTAGTCCCAAGCATAGCTTGTGCTGTACTAGACAACTGATATAAATAAATATTTTAATATATAATATACGTTGAGAAGACCCAGACCGATACAAACAATCATAGTCATGAATGCAGATGTTTGTACCGTGCGAGGAATCGAACCCGCAACCATCGGCTATCTATAATAGTGGTGCCTTTTCTGTTTTACAATGGCAATATAAGTGATCTACCCTGCTTGATTGTCTACGAAACTAATAAGAAATTAATTTATGGGAATTTTTGCCCAATGCAATAAAGGGTAAGTTTAAAAATCGACAGTTTATAATAACAGACTATAGCTACACAAAGTGTTAAAAGCTGGGTAGGCTTACATATAGTAAACATAGATTCGCTACACTCACTTAACATTTGTCATTATAATCGCCCAATTTACATAATATCTTTTTAAATTATAGCCTACGTGTTATTCTGTTGTTCAAGCTAAATTACTGTAGTTTCATTCAAATCCGTTCAGTAGTTTTTGCGTGAAAGAGTAACAAACATCCATGCATCCTTTCTCACTTCTTCATACTCACAAACTTTTGCGTTTATAGTAATAGATAGAATAAAATAAATTGTATAGACAGTTATCTGTATTTTTCTTTCGTTATATGAATTGTGTTATATGTACTAGGAAATATATATTATTCTGTATGGAAAATAGAATGTTTACTCATGAATACAAATGTTTGTACTGTGCTAGGTATCGAACCTGCGACCATCAGAAGTAAGACGGTGTGAAAGATATTTTGAATTTTTTGAATTCGTGTTCAATGACACAACTAATGAATTAAAACAATACAAAAATTGGTTAGTTTGAAATATATGTTCAGGTGCCAGAATTCAGTTGTTTCCATAGTCTGTCTATAAACTGTCGCTATTGGAACCTTCTATGTTTAATGATATATGTGGAATAGTACTAATTACTAAAAGCAAAATTAGTTTAGTCATTCTATGCTAAAATAATATCAGAATGACAATGAAATGAGCAATCGACTATTTTGACATATCAAAAACATTACTGTACCTTACCCCTTCCGCCATTTTGCATTAACACTCATTTCTCAAAATGGCGTCTGTACGCAGAATTTTTTTATGTAAATATAATGATTAAGAAGCTTAAGGTGCATTTCTAAAAAATAAATATATTCAAATTATGTACCACGAAAGTGCTAGAATGTTCTGGATAAATTTTTCCAGTCTTAAATTTAATAATTGTGATTTAATAAGAAACAACACACTTACCAATTATTTTAAAATACAAATATATATCTACAACATTTTTTTATAATTTTTCGTCTATATATATTTTTTTATAAATGCATTATAAGTTCAGAAGTGCCATTTCATAATAATTTTCGACTTTTAACAAATACTCGTCTTTATTATCTACGAATTTGGATTAACAATGAGGGAAGGGTTAAAAAAAAGGATTTTAAAAATTTACTTTATCAATATTTATTTGCCAGTCGATTGCTCAGTTCGATTCGTAATTAATAAAATATACATACAATATACATCGAGAACTACGCTTTATACATAACCAGTAATTATACATTGTGTAGTGAACAACGCCTAATTTCCCCACCATCGTTATATTCTTGAAAAAGAAATACGAATACGTATATAATAAATATAGGCTGCTTTAGGTCGCGCCATTTCATGAGATGAGAACATAAACAAAATGGCGTCCTAGCTTTCCAATTTATCAGCTTAATATAATTTAATAATTTTACAATTATATATCTCGATTCTCGAGGCTGACATATAAATCTATAACGACAATTAATAATATAATAAAACATTTATAGATTCAATTAAGATGGCGAAATTTGACATATTTAAAAACAGAATTCGATTTATACACATTTCCACGATTGCTACCTAATAGTTTTTGTTTTGATTTATCAGTCAATAAAAAGTAGCCAAACCCCCAACATTTGTTCAACCGTTTGACCAAACTACGCCTAGGCCAAGTCATATCTACAAATACAATAATCAAATTGAATGTACAATCATACTCAGATCAGAGTAAATCAGCCACGGAGGAAATTGAAATAAAATTATATAACAAATAATCAATCGATTATTGGAATCAAATTATTCAATCGATTATAACTAAGGCGAAATTTATACTTCATACAAATTATATTGCAACACCGGTGTTTACAAATATAGATGTCGACTGGACAATTGTTTGTCAAATATACAACCAATGTCAAGCAGGAACCGTCAAATATAATAAAATGATGCTTATATTGGCTAGTTTACGTCAATATCCAAAGGTCAATGTTTGACCATAGCCACAACCAATCTGGTGAATACTTACCAAGTATGGGGATATTACGCCCAACATACAAATGGCCAACTAGTTGGCTAGTCAAAACAACCACTGTACAAGTGGCCTGCAAGAAGTAGTTATCAACACAGATGTTTGACCAACTGTTCGGAAATATCGTTCTTCGTCAGTTCCGCGTACTCCGCCGCGGTTTTCCCCCGCTGCAAGATCTCTATGGTACTTCTAGAATCGAGCTGCCTCAAGTGATGCAGAAGTTTTGTCTCCGGCAGGGGATTTACCGGTTTTGCAACGGTGAGTGTTGTGTTCTTCAGGGCCCTGGCTACTGTTTTGAGGAATTTATACCATTGGCGTTCTTGTGACGTCGCGTCCGGGGTGTTGACGAGGCTGGATGCATTCTCTACGAGAGCGCACACACAGCTCAGAGTAAACTGTGGACCAATTGCAAATGTTAGCGTACATAATGTACATAAATTATTAACACATTGACGGACAGTAGGACACAAACAAGTTCCAAAAATAACACTGTATGTTTTTGGAATATAAATTTTTAGAATATTAAAACTTAGTTTTACTTTTTCTGCTTACTTAAACTTAATTTTGACACAATTCAAGAGAAAACACGATCGCACTCGTATTGCACGTGGTTGCGAAGGGAGTACTAGCACGCGCATCGTAGTTCCTTCGCAACCACGTGCGTACTGAAACTGCAAGTCGTGTAACGGGTGGAAAACAAAATTCACATCATCACACACTAGGCTTGTACTTGTACGCCGATATATTGGTGCCGCACATTGGTGCCGCTATAGCCGCAGAGTCCAAAAACGAGCGTTTCGTTTTAGACGGCTATTGCCGTCATACCACATAGTGAACTTCGCTTTGACGGCTCTAGACGCATTTGTCTGTCAACGTGTAATAAGTTATTATTTACTACCCACTCCGGTTTAACACGAGTGTACATGTATTATATACACGTATACACGAGTGTACTGAATCACTCTATCTATTTAAAAAAAACAGCATCTAAATCCGTTCCGTAGTTTTAAAAATTTAAGCATATATAGCGACGGACACACAGCGACAGCTACTTTGTTTCATATTATATAATGATAATATTTTATTTAAGGCCCGCCAAAAAAATTTCTTTGGGCCCGTTGATTAATATAGTTACCCCTGTTTTATACGATATATGGTTTTAAATTGTAATTATACTCACGGCGGTAGTGAGTGCGTACGGTGTCCTCGCCGGGTCCAGCGCTTCTGACAGCAAACTGCTCGATTCCAGTACGGCCGACCAGCCGGTCTGGTTTTGCATGTATCTGTAAAATGTAATTCATTTTTACCACCTTATACCACTAATGGTCAAAGGTCTCCGTGCAACGTGTGAAACGTTCAGATCAGATCAATTAGCCAACAGTACTAATTCACTACAAACATCACAGCAGCCGCGCGCGCGGGTGCTCCACACGTGGAGCTGCCCCCCCGCCCCCCGCCCCCCGCCCCCTACCTGCGGTAGTGCGCCGCCAGCGAGGCGAGGCCGGCGTCGGAGCGCCTGGCGGCGGCCGGCAGCGCGCGCAGCAGCCGCGCCCACAGCAGCCGCGCGCGCGGGTGCTCCACACGTGGAGCTGCCCCCCCGCCCCCCGCCCCCCGCCCCCTACCTGCGGTAGTGCGCCGCCAGCGAGGCGAGGCCGGCGTCGGAGCGCCTGGCGGCGGCCGGCAGCGCGCGCAGCAGCCGCGCCCACAGCAGCCGCGCGCGCGGGTGCTCCACACGTGGAGCTGCCCCCCGCCCCCCGCCCCCGCCCCCTACCTGCGGTAGTGCGCCGCCAGCGAGGCGAGGCCGGCGTCGGAGCGCCTGGCGGCGGCCGGCAGCGCGCGCAGCAGCCGCGCCCACAGCAGCCGCGCGCGCGGGTGCTCCACACGTGGAGCTGCCCCCCCCCCCCCCCCCCCCCCCCTACCTGCGGTAGTGCGCCGCCAGCGAGGCGAGGCCGGCGTCGGAGCGCCTGGCGGCGGCCGGCAGCGCGCGCAGCAGCCGCGCCCACAGCAGCCGCGCGCGCGGGTGCTCCACACGTGGAGCTGCCCCCCGCCCCCCGCCCCCCGCCCCCTACCTGCGGTAGTGCGCCGCCAGCGAGGCGAGGCCGGCGTCGGAGCGCCTGGCGGCGGCCGGCAGCGCGCGCAGCAGCCGCGCCCACAGCAGCCGCGCGCGCGGGTGCTCCACACGAACCTGGAGCTGCCACCCCGCCCCCCCCCCCCGCCCCCTACCTGCGGTTGGGCGCCGCCCGCGCGGCGCGGCCGGCGGCGGCGCGCCTGGCGGCGGCCGGCAGCGCGCGCAGCAGCCGCGCCCACAGCAGCCGCGCGCGCGGGTGCTCCACACGCTGACCGACGCGCTAGCGAACCCCCCCCCCCGCCCCCTGCCCCCCGCGCGCGCCTACCTGCGGTTCTTAGTGCGCCGCCAGCGAGGCGAGGCCGGCGCTCGGCATCCGTTCCGACACAGTGCTACCGGACTTTCCGCGTGTGTAGTGTTGTGTTGTGAGGACTGCCTGGCGGCGGCCGGCAGCGCGCGCTGCAGCCGCGCCCACAGCAGCCGCGCGCGCGGGTGCTCCACACGTGGAGCGGCCCCCCCGCCCCCCGCCCCCCGCCCCCGCCCCCTACCTGCGGTAGTGCGCCGCCAGCGAGGCGAGGCCGGCGTCGGAGCGCCTGGCGGCGGCCGGCAGCGCGCGCAGCAGCCGCGCCCACAGCAGCCGCGCGCGCGGGTGCTCCACAAGCCGACCAGGCCGAACCCGCCTGGAGGAGCTGCCCCCCCTAGCCCCCATCCGCCCCCGCCCCCTACCTGCGGTAGTGCGCCGCCAGCGAGGCGAGGCCGGCGTCGGAGCGCACCCCGCCAAAGCCCTGGCGGCGGCCGGCAAAAGCGCGCGCAGCAGCCGCGCCCACAGCAGCCGCGCGCGCGGTGCTCCACACGTGGAGAAAAACTGCCCCCCTCGCCCCCGTTGTAATACGCCCCCGCCCCCTACCTGCGGTAGTGCGCCGCCAGCGAGGCGAGGCCGGCGTCGATATAAAGAGCGCCTGGCGGCGGCCGGCAGCGCGCGCAGCAGCCGCGCCCACAGCAGCCGCGCGCGCGGGTGCTCCACACGTGGAGCTGCCCCCCCGCCCCCCGCCCCCCGCCCCCGCCCCCTACCTGCGGTAGTGCGCCGCCAGCGAGGCGAGGCCGGCGTCGGAGCGCCTGGCGGCGGCCGGCAGCGCGCGCAGCAGCCGCGCCCACAGCAGCCGCGCGCGCGGTGCTCCACCAGCACCATCGACCCTGGAGCCCTGCCCCCCCGCCCCCCGCCCCCGTCTGCCCCGGCGCCCCCTACCTGCGGAGAGAAAAGCCTAGCGTGCGCCGCCAGCGAGGCGAGGCCGGCGTCGCGATCCTAGAATCGCCAATTACAACTTAGGCGGCGGCCGGCAGCGCGCGCAAACAGCCGCGCCCACAGCAGCCGCGCGCGCGGGACCGCTGCTCCACATATCGTGGCAAACTACTGCTGCCCCCCCTCCTAGCCCCCAGCGCCCCATTCTGGCCCCCGCCCCCTACCACGACAAACGGTAGTGCGCCGCCAGCGAGGATAATCGAGGCCGGCGTCGGCACTGCTGCCCCTGGCGGCGGCCGGCAGCGCGCGCTGCAGCCGCGCCCACAGCAGCCGCGCGCGCGACCGACACACCGGTACTCCACACGTCATAGAGTCCACCGCCCCCCTCGCCCCCCGCCCCCTGCTCCAGCCCCCGCCCCCTACCTGCGGTAGTGCGCCGCCAGCGAGGCGAGGCCGGCGTCGGAGCGCCTGGCGGCGGCCGGCAGCGCGCGCAGCAGCCGCGCCCACAGCAGCCGCGCGCGCGGGTGCTCCCACACGCGGGACACGAACCTACGGACCAGCGCCTGCAACACACCCCCATGTTACTAGAATAGCATATAAGGTGACAGTTGCCTGATGGAAAACAGTAACCGTGGTCTATATACATAAACAGAACTACGGACTGCCCCAAAATTACTTAAGTTTGTTCTGTTTACCATAAGAGAAAGTTTTTAAAGAAATTGACAGACAGACAGACTAGTTGCCAAAACTGCATTATGAACAACGCAATAAATTTGGAAAAGTTTGAATAAAATTTGATAATGCAACAAAAACTACCCTTTATAGGGTGGAGTGATTCCACCCCAAATTTACCCTCTAAAGAACCCTATTATGCAGGTCCCGGGGATGTCTCTATACCCGTTGTGGTAGCTCGTATGGGATGAAGAGAAACCACTAATTTAGTAGTATTAGTGATTTATTTGGAATACTTCACAACTTATGTGCGTAAAATCATGTCATTAGTATACTATACAAACAGGTGATTCCATTCATGGAGTGAGAAGGCAATGCGAGTGCGCTCCTGCTCGCACCGGGTTTATAAGCAAGGCGATCGCGTTGCGCCGGCAGTTGGCGCGTAGCTGTATTACACTAATCATGTGTGCTGCTACACCATCATAATCCATTTACCAGTTTAGATATGAGAGTGTAAAAAAAAAAACTCATCTCTGTACCTATACTATTAATGAAACTTATTACTAAGGAAAGGAACTACGAAGTAATAAATTGTCAACTTACCCTGCCCTTTCGAACGGTAAGCATCTGAGCCAGCCTGTCGCCGTGCAGTAATCCTGCGAACATCTTATTCACCAGCTCTTCTTTGTCCTCGTCCAACAGGTTCTTCACAGGAGTCGGTTTTTGATTCACAGCTAAATTCACCACCTGAGAAATACGAGTATGAAAAGTCAAGATATAGAAACTCCAAATTAGCGTGAAACTATTTGGAGACTTTATTGGTCTGATGATTTCGTATTTAGCTGTCTCACCATTGAATAATGGCAGATTCGATCCACCACCATCTTAAATTTTTTTACTTAACTAGCTGTACTCGCGACTACGTCCGCGTGGAATTTAACTTTATTTTATCTAAAATAAAACAATTTTTCTAAAATAAAAGTAGCCACAGTTATTATTACACTCATTACATCAGC